GAATCAACAACCACTCTTTTCAACTTACAGACATTGATATTGGAAGGTTGTCGTTATTTGGAGGCACTACCTATCGACTTGAGGAATCTATTGAATCTGCGTCATCTCAACAATTCAGGTGTATATTCACTGAAAGCAATGCCTCCGCAACTAGGTCGGTTGACAAATCTACAATCTTTGCCTAATTTTGTGGTGGGTAAAGGTAGTGAAGAATCAGGGATAAGAGAAATTGGATCCCTATCCCATCTCCGAGGGACATTATCGCTCTCAAGGTTGGAGAATGTGATCGATGCTGAGGATGCACGGAAGGCCGACTTAAAATCCAAGGAGAGAGTAGATAAATTGGTGCTAGAATGGTCGGATAACACACAAGAAACGCAATTAGGCGTGCTTGACAGATTAGAACCTCATAGAATGCTTAAAAAACTCATCATCAGGGGTTATGCTGGATTAGAATTTTCAACATGGATTGGAGATCGTTTATTCTCCACTATGGTGCATGTGCGCTTAGACAAATGTAAAAATTGTCAAATCTTGCCACCCCTTGGGCAACTACCTTTGCTCAAAGAACTTTATATTACAAGAATGGCTGCAGTGGAAAATGTTGGCCCTGAGTTTTATGGGGAGGGTAGCTTGCCTTTTCCAGTACTAGAGACTCTTGAGTTTGAGGATATGCAACACTGGAAGAAATGGGTTCCTTTTGTTGGGGATCAGGGAATTGGTGTTTTCTCTTGCTTGAAATGGCTTTCAATCAGAAATTGTCCTCAATTGGAGGGTAAGGTGCCCGAGAACCTTGATTCATTAGCAACACTTCAAATTATTAAATGCCAGGAATTGGTGATTTCAATTTCCAACTATAAACAAATTGGTGCATTGGACATGAAAGATTGCAAAGCGGTGGTGGTGAAGACAAGTGGCGTTGAGTTTGAGTTATTAAATTCTTTGAGACTTTCAAATATTTCAGAGTTGAGGTTCCAAACAGGGGAATTCACCAAAGGATTAAGGAAGGTTGCAAAATTGACGATTGGCGGATGTGAGGAGCTGACATCTTCACTGAAGAATGAGGATAGAGTATTGCAACACTTGATTTCTCTTGATCGTTTGGTTATTGAAGGCAACTCTTCCCTCCTTGAAAAGCTGGGAAAAGAAGCAGAGGAGTTGCTGCAATTGCAAATATTGACTTGCAAGCTTAAATATCTAGAATTAAACAAGTGTGCAAGTCTTTCGAAGGTACCAGAAGGGTTGCATCACCTAACGGCTCTTCAAAGACTTGACATAGTTGGATGCTCAAGTCTGGTTTCTTTTCCAGATGTTGGTCTGCCTCCTTCCCTTGAAGTCATAAGGATTGAGGAGTGTGATTCGTTGCTGTATTTTGCAAAATACCAGATTCCCCCAAATCTAAGAATAATAGAGATACGGCGGTGTAAAACTTTGAAATCATTAGTAGAGAAAGAGGAGGATAGTTCTTCGTCTTCCTCTTCTTCTCCTATTTCTCTTGAGCACTTGGAAATACAGAGATGTGATTCTCTAACGTCGTTATCATTGAGAGCCCAGTTGTTTCCCAGGGCGCTTAAAGGCCTTCACATATGGGGTTGTAAAGAGCTGCAGTTAATAACGTCCGATGTGTTAGCCCACGACAACACTAATTATTGTCTTGAATATATTAAGATCTGGTCTTGCCCAAATCTGAAATCCTTACCGGAGGGCCTATGCCACCTCACCAATCTTCAAACTTTAGAGATTTATCGTTGTGGGAGTCTGGTTTCCATCCCGAGCCTGAGTGGTGAGGGTTTGCCTTCGCCAACAACAACAACCGCCTCCAGCCTAAGACAAATCCACATCTTGAATTGCAACAAATTGGAGATGTTACCGGACATGCGCAATCTCAACTGTCTTCAGGAATTGTATATTGATTACGGTGAAGGTTTAAAGTTCACTTCCTTTCCCCCCAACCTAACATCACTTAAAATCAGCGGAATCAAGAATTGTAAGCCGATGTGGGAGTTGTTGCCCACACTCACCTCTCTTACAGAATTGTCCATCAGTGGTGAAGACCCAAGTGTGGTGTCATTTCCACCCGACAGTTACAGGGAGATGGAGATGGAGATGCTGCTCCCCAATTCTCTCACTAATCTTTCAATTAGTGATTTCCCAAATATGAAGAAACTGAGCAGCAAGGGCTTTCAATCCCTCACCTCTCTTCAATCCCTTGGACTCGGCAATTGTCCAAAGCTGGCATATATTCCAGAGCAGGGGTTGCCTATTTCACTGAGGCGACTTCATATCATTCGATGTCCCCTGCTAAAAGATAAATGCCAGCCTGGAAGTAAAGGACGATACCTGCCCAAAATATCCCACATCCCCTACATGTTTATAACGGATTAGAAGACGGTTTGAAGATGACGAGAACCCACACCCACACATGGACATGGTCAACTCCGACTCTCACTCTCCCCAGGTACTTCAAATTTCAAACATTATCAACAATTTCCCTGTACTCTTTATGGTGAGACTCCTTTTCTGGCATATTATTGCGAGTAGTTTATAATTTTTTAATGTCGAGAGATCCCTGAAAAGAAAAGCAAATTGTTGACCAATATAGTTTTGTCAAAATTACAGCACTTGCCAAATAAGGAGACTAATCATATTGAATTAAAAAATAACTACAGTATTTATGATTCTCTAAATTATGGAGTATGATTGGAGTTCAAATTTTATAGATGCTCCTAAAATAACTTTTGTGTGTTTTTAGCTAAATTTTAACTGAAAAAATAAGAAGCATGATTATAGATGCTCTTATATTATAGTTAATATATAGCATATGGATAATATAATTGTACAAAAAAAAAAAAAAAAAAAAAAAAAAAAAAAGAAACAACATTGTTATAGCTCAGATTAATATATATATATATATATATCTGAGAGTTAAATAATCATAATGTTAATTATAGGGTTCATTTGGACAGGAATTTGGAAAGACAGAAGCGTTGAGGCTGGAATTAATATATAACATGAAGAAGAGGAAGGTCACCCCATCAAGCATAATTTATATAAAATATCTAAATCACCAGCGCCAATTAGTGGTTTCATTTATAAAATAAAAAAAAGAGAGTAATTTACTGATTTGCTGGTTCTGGTTCTTGCTTTATGCTATTGTACACTCTTGACTTCTTCAATCACTATATTCTTCATTTTCACTAAGGCATGACCGTGACACATTGAAATATGACTTAGTTTCTCATCCAATAGAATAAATACAGGGAGTGCATTTAAGCCAGTCCACACATGATGTCTGGTCCAGTGTGAGAGGGTTGAAAGAAGGGACTGCCTCTCTTACTTCCGGAGCTGCAGGGTGAAGAGCTGTGAAAGGACTGGATAGCAACAAGGTCATTTCATATCGTGCTAACATCAACTGAAGATGGTAAATCACCATCTTTCTGTTGCAAGTTTCAGATGTTTAATATTTTGCCATTTGGTTTGCCTTGTAATATTTTGCCATTTCTCTACTGAGAAAACTTTTACCCATATTTTTCTTTCTTTTTTTTGCTTGGCTAAAATGTTTTTGTTTTTCATAGTTCTCTGCCTTTTATTCAAATTAGTAGGTTTACTTAATCTTAACTGAAGATTTGAACCCTGACCCCTTTACAATCTTTAGAGGACTTGTAGAGCTAGCTGTTTTTTCGGTTGGGACGACTTCAATTTTTGGACATCCAGTAACCAAGTGTTCTTTGTTCTTTTAAACAGAAATATCGACTGAACCTGCCAGACACTTGTGACAAATTCTTGATAGTTGCGCTGACATATTATATGTGCAACTAAGCCTCATCTTTATTTTGATGATTTACCAAATTATCTTTTGAATCATGCTGAAAAATACAAGTGAGGTTGCCGTGTTTTGTTTAAAGAATGCGCTTCTGCATTGGCAGGAACGCTTTCAATATTTGGATGCTATATACAGATTACAGAAGCGGATGTTGTGTTGTGCCAGAATAGTCTTCAAACTCCCATCCTTTCAAGCTTCTCAAGAAACCACTGCAGGGGAATAGTAAACTCGTATGGCTCATGCTCTTTTTCTCTCTAGATGTTTTGCTTGCTCCTTGATTCGAGTGTGACGCCTACAATGATATTGTCCTCTTTGCAGAAAGAGTTGAAACCATCCTTTGCTACTTTCAGCAGCAATGGGAGTTAAATAGGCCCAAACTCAAAATTTCAACAGCAGAATCCTCTTTCTTTGCAGCAGTAGGTGACAGTGCTGCAAAAAGGACTCAAAGAAAGATATTTATGAGAGTTTCGTCAGTTCTTTGGACAACCATTTGCTTTAAATATTCTGCCTATCAAAGCAAGAAGGATTGTTTTATTGGGTCATGTCAATTCAGTAGGCATTTGTAAACATGAGAAGGAATAGCAAACAATGAGACAGGTTTTTTTTTTATACAAATTTTACAGACGATAGTCTGCGGGGAGGAGAATTTGAACTTTGGTGCAATGAGGCAAGCTCACTGCCCTGGCCTAACCCGCCTCGCCAGCAAGCAATGAGATATTACATATTCATATACACAATTCTTTTTCCGTCCTCAATCAAATAAGATATGCACCCTTGTTTAGGCACTGAATTGTTGTTGACCAATTTGGTTGTGCTGACATCTTCATTGTTTGTTGTTTTCTTTGTTTCTTTTGGCTCATTAGGAATATGTTGAGCTGAGTTGACATGTTTATGCTTGTCCTTACCATTTTTATGAGTGACATTCACCAGTAAACAGTTCATCAATAAGAGATTCTATATATGATGGATGAATCTACGGCCATTTGGATTACAAATGGGGATAATATGACATTCTAAGAGTTCAATTATCTGTCTAGACTATTATAATCTATATATGCCAATATTTAAACAAAAATGAAATAAAGAAAACAAATGGGTTAATTGGCATGCTTGGTCTAATTGTCCACCCCACCACGATGGAAGCATATATAGGTGATATCTCGTGGTTGCTAGTTTATTTTCTAAATGCCCATCTCTTGCATTTTTATCGAAAGGTTACCACACTGTAATTCCATAAACAAAATCAATATCCACACAAAAATAAAATTACTTACAACAATCATGTAATCTATCCTATGCTCTAATCTCGTATCTTTTGAATTCCAACCCACCGTGCATAATCAACCCACCTGTTCCACAATATAAAGAATCATGAGAATTGAAGAGGAAAACACAACCAACTTACATAATGAGATTCAAGGAGAACTCAGATCTTACATCAAGGACCCCAAGAATGTGTTGCCTGTTCGAACAGCAAAGCAAATTGCACTCAGTATAATCTTGTGTTGGTGTAGCAAGGGTTCTAGAATTCGTTGTTCGATTACTCCAGCGAGAACTTGGTACCTTTAAAACAAAAGGTATATCATTATACATGTTTCCAATAGTAACAAAAATAAATTATTATCATTTCTGACTAGCCTCAACTATTTATGAGCAATGATTAAATAGTAGTGTCATTGCCAAATGAAATAATAAGTCAATGAAATAATCAGGATATCTCTTAGCCCTTCTCTTAAAGATGGGATGCATGTTTCTTTAATCCCCACTATCCAACCAACATCAATTATCTTGCCTAAAAAGGAATTTCCGTATGGTAGACAATTGATATATAGAATAGATATATAGAATTTTCTAAAGGCCAACATATATCATAGCATTGGCTTTTTTTTTTTCCCTCAATCAAAAAACACAGAATTATGTACATAAAGCTAAATAATGGTAAACAAAAGATTTCCTTCTTCAAGGTGTCTTCTGCAGATCCTTACTCTGCTGCAGCACATCTTGTATCTATTGTTGGAATAATGGTAAGCATGTGTCCTTTCACATAAATAACTGTTCTATTTTGAGAGGTTAAAGAGTTTCTTTTTAAGACATGTTTATGGTGGCACTTGTCTTTCCACAGGAATAACTGGTGTATGAATTTTATAAAGGGTTTCTTCTGTCAACATGTTCTTGGAGACTATATATGGATTCATATAGTTAGAAGAGCTTGTTTCTCTTTTCCCCCCATGTGCTCTTAGGATAAAAAGCTTCTCGATAACTAGAAAGGCCCGGTAGCATCCAGAAATTCCACAAATGGTTTTTTTGGATAGATACTGTTCTCCGTGGATATGATAGTTACTCTTTAAAATACCAAGTTTCTTCAGTCAGTCTTGAAAAGTTTGTTAATGGTCTATGCTGACAGTTCATGAAGGTTAGAGTAAATAATAAATAGATTACTTAAATCTGCAGAAAACCTGTGTACCTTAGATTGCTAGAAACTGCCATATAAACTCCATAGGCTACACTAGTTGATAATATGGGAACATCCTCTGCTTCACCAGCAAAAGATTTATCGATAGCTTTTCGTGCATTAATCAATGCATTTGTTACACCCGTACCAACCTAAAAGAAATTGAAAAGTTGTAAACAGTCATATGACACCAAACGGCTACTAGCCTACTGAAACTGTCAACCATATAACAAACTGGGAACCACATAACATCATGACACCTGTATAGCCATTACATGAGTGGGAAGCAGATTTCATATGTGCATTCTGCAATGAAAAACTTATAACACAAGACAAAAACAATCTAGTAATGTACCAATACTCCCATTTCTTTCACTAAATACATATAATATTTTAGACAGTAATTGAAAATGAAATATACTTTGGCAATAAAGCACACTAGAGCCTCATAATTCATTTATAAGACTGGTTGGAGAAGCTTGTGCCTTTGTATATTATTTGGAGAAAAAAATCTACATCTCTGTTATTGTTGAACGTTGATACAAAATTCAAATCAATGGTACACTATCATTAAATTAGAAACAGTCGAGGATTATAACGCTCAGTAAAGAATCATTTTGATAGACATATACTACATAAGTATCCTATATTTCAATACAATTTGCTAGTAGAGTTAGTTTATGTGGCTGAGCAAAAGTTGATATAGTCTTTCCTGCATAGCATGATGCTTCAGGGCTTTAAATACAATATTCTCATCAATTAATTTTTTTTATTTTTTATGGCTAAGTAAAAGGAAAATCTAGCCTTGCTTATGATGCATGTTGTATAAGTGTTCCAATACAACATGCAGAAGATACTTTAGGGTTAGTATTGGAGACCCAATAATATGACCAGAATATAACAAACCCAGGCCTGTACAGAATTGTTCATCAATGTTGTAATGATTGATGCAACGTTAAATTAATGCGTACATGCTCTATAATATAATGAGTTTAAATAGGTATGGAAAGTATTTGGTTATTGCTGAAAATTTCACTCACCAGAGATGCACCAGTCCCGACTGCAAATAGTTTAGCTCCATTTCTCTGAATAAAAGATCAAAATACTTTAAACTCAATGCACGTACCACTATGAGACATGAACATGACTGCTAAACTGTTAGATAGCACATACCACTATTGCACCTATTCTCTGTAAGAGTGAGTAAGATGTTCCAGCCAAAGCTACCTGCAGACAGGAGTGATGACTCGCTTGTTATAGTCATATGACAAAGTGGCAACTTAAAAGGCCAAAAATAATGAAGCAAGCACTAACCTGAAAAGCATTATCAGGACACCCATAGAAGAACTTAGCAAGACGCCCCGCACTGACAGTAAGAGGAGGTCGAAGTGAAACAGTAGGAGCAGGAAGCCAAACAAGCATAAAATCGGCTATAATGGCCATCACCTGAGATTTAAAAAAAATATATTAACAGTAAGGCTGCGAAAAGGTGCAACAAATAGAAACCAGAAACCCAACAGATAAAAAAGGCAGAAATAGATAGCATGAAATGGTAAACGAAACACATCAGCTATCATCAAAATTGAGGAAAACTTCCAGTTGTTACAAAGTTGAAGAAGTGCTGCAGATCTTTTGCACTCCAAGTTTAACACAAAGTTTAACATATATGAAAGCTTATGACTAGAAAAGGAACTTTCCTTTGAGATTAATAAGCCTTCTGAAAGTATGGGGAAGTAATCAAATGAGTAAACAAATTTAAATGATGTACATTGCACCAGGTCCTACTAGTAAAATGCAATTAAATGATAAGTAATCCCCGCAATTTATAACTCTACTTCAGAAACACAGTTGATATTGTCATTGCAACCCCATTAACAAATTCTAAGTAAGTCCAATTTCCAATTGAAGCAAACAATTCAAACCAGTCAATTAACTAAAGTTCCCACAAAGCAGGCTCAGTTTTAGAGCACAGATAGCAGAAATGCCAACCAAAAATAAATAAAAGGATCATATGAATATAAAAAGACACCTAGAATCAAGTTGCAAGGATGCAAGGAAAGAAAAACACAAGAGTGGAAACTGAGGATCCTACAATCAAGCAACTCCTATTCAAAGGAAAATGACCGAAGACACGAATACCATTTAGTGATTCTGTAATTGGAAGCGCACAAATTGCACAAAGGTTGCTACCAAGAGTTGGCATTGAGCTCAATGTTCCCAAAGATAGTTTTCTGCATCCATTCCAATTCACAACCCAAAACTCAACTGAAAGGCAGATTTTCCGAGTTGAACTTATTTATTTTTAATATTTATATCATATGACATATCCCAGATTCCGACAGTGTTTCTTACTTTTACACTGTCGCTCAGCCCAATTATACAAACATCACTTGTAAAAGCTATTCATCTATGAAGCTAATGAAAATTACTTAGTTTGGAGGCAATAATTTTCCGTTCTGCAGCACAACAAAATCAAAGATCTTATTTATATGAGAGGCGTACCACATCCGCAAAAACAAAATCCAGCTCTTTGGTAAAATTTTCGCGGCGCCGCTCCAACTCTGCAGCAGTCTGAAAAACGAGCAACATGGAAAGAGCTCAGCTTACACCTACCTATACATAGCAGATACTCTGATTTGTATTCAATATTCAAAAGTTAAAAGATATCCAATGCATAACAGAGCCACCATTTCCATTGAGGCGCCAAATAAGAATTGTAGATGCCAAAGTATGGATCAACGGTCAAGATTTCACCTTTTCTATAACTTTATCAGATTAGAAGTTAGCAAATTAGAAGAAGCACAGACCTTGGTGAATATTCCAACACCACACTCTATAGCAACCTTAGTCAAGAACAAGTCATCCGCAAGCAACCGCTCCTTAAACCCATCAAACCCAAGCAGCCACCTGAACACCGCTGACTTCTCCAGCTCAAAGAACCTTCTCACAATAGACCCCGGCACACGGCCCGCCTCTATTGCCGCCACCAAGTCCTTGGGCAGGCTCTCCGACGACCGCCCCGCCTCCGCTATCGCCGCCACGGCCTCCACCTTGTTCCGCTCCCGGTCCTCACCGCCGTCATCACCGCCACCGTTGTCCTGATTGTTATTGTTGTTACCTCCGCCGCCTACCCCGCCGCCAGGAGGGGGGTCACCGCCGTATGCGGCGGATGAGCTGGCGATGAAGGAGAAGCGGGTGAGGCGGGGGGTGGTGAATGAGACGGAGGGAGTTGTGGTGACTTTACTGCGGGAAATGAGAGTGAGAGAGAGGCTTTTTGGGGATATAGAGAAATGCTGAGGGTTGTTTGGTGAAGAGAGAAAGAGAGTTTGGGTAGTGGAGAAGTTGGAGAAGCTGGTGACTGCTGCCATTGTTGGTTCTTGCTTGCTTGCTTTCAGTTCCTCCCTCTCTCTTTCTTTCAAGAAGCAGAGAGGGAATGTTGAAGTTAGAAGAGAAGGGGCAAGTGTGAATTTAATTCAGAGAATTGGGTTGGTGTGATTTGGTTGGGGGTGGAAGAATGGAGTAGATGATCGATCACACGAGCCTTAACAGACTCTTCCTGCGTCTTCCTGTCCTCACATATGGTCTCCCTCTCTCTCTCCCCAACTGGTCTTGGTCTTCTTCGTGTTTTATTTATTTATTTTTATTTATTTTGGTTTTGATGAATGTTCTGAAGACTTTTTTTGTGGACCAAAATGAAATTATAATTTATTATTTGCTCAAAAGAGAATCACACATTGGAGTTGTTGTCATCCCATTATTTATCGTGTAAACTGGGTCAAATTAGTAAGTCCATGTAAAGAATTCTCTTTTGAGTAAATCCTGTTAGCATTTCTCTTGAAAGTTTATGGCACTTATTCTTTAAAGAAGAAAATAAGAATAAGTATCAAATTTGGAATTTTAAAATTTCAAGTTCAATGTGTTTTCAATTAAACATTTGTTGCAATGTAGCAGCCTCAGCTAACTCTCTCAAGAATTCTCTTATAATTAGTTCAATGTTTTTAGGCTTTCACTAAAACAGCACCAATTAAATGAGGTATGTGCACCGATGCATGACCTTTTTTTAAAAGGTTTTTTTTTTTTTTTTTTTTTTTTCCCAAGAATTGGCTATAGGCGCCACGTTGCCACATTAGTGTATTGAGGTGGCATTTTGCTGCTTCTTCTTTCTTTTTTTTCCTTATTTTTTGGCAATTGATGCATCATGACAATTAATTGGCTAAACTTTAGCCTAAAACATATAATTTTGGAATCCACTAAGAAGACATGAGGAAACCTCAAAGTTTATTTGATAAATTGAAATAACAAAACATACCCTAACCACATGTAAAGTATGCTTAAATACTTATGGAAACCTTATAAATAACAAAACTCCCAACAAGGGTCACTACACAAATCCTCTATTCAGCAGACTGATAGAAGAACCTACCAATCGGAAGGGGATAATTTGCCCCTCATTGATCGGTAGCACGAATCAACCAAGACACGAGTGGTTGTCCCCCAACTACTCAGCAGTCTACATGCCGACGATATACGCAGAGAGACATGCCTCCAACAATCGATGAGGTTGCCATGTCGACTTCAGAACATGTGTCACCACAATAGTGATTGACAAGAGCTTCATATCGAAGAAATGTGCAAACATACCCTTTTACTTATAAATAAATAAAAATAGAGCACTATTTCAAAGACATGAGGTAACCAATTTTTACCCTAGTCATTACTCACCTACAATTGTCTCAAATACCAAATTTAAGATGATTTAAGCATCAGAGTGCCTTCAGCATGTATCACACCAATACCAATGTCTAACTGATCTTCCCTTTTAGCATATAACACTTTGATTGTTGTTGATGCGTAAAAATCGCTCAACTAATCAGAGTGAGTCGAACTGAGTTAACTCTTCCTTAAGGACATATTAGGTTTTGAGGCTGCACTTTTGTATATTTTTGCCCCTTCTTGGAGTGGTCATTGTTGGTTGCTCTTCTTGAAAGAAAAACATGAAAAGATCACTGAAGAAGTGGTGGTGGGTCCACCAACCACCCTCTGATGCCTAAGTCAGTCTTTTCCCACAACGAAGGTTATATATCCAAAAGTACTGTAATCAAGTATGGAGGAGACTCATGTTACCATTTTTTAGGCGGAAAGTGCTCCTTTTTATATAGGGAAGTTGGACCTTTCTATTGTCCTTTTTCGATGTGGGATTAAGGAGTCGCCGATGTCATGGCATCTTCTAAGTGTGCGATAAGTGGTGGTTTGATGTGTGTCTCTCTCTTTTGGGAAAGCAAGCGTTAGTGGAAGATTTGGTGTGCTTTTCTAAGCGCTTCAATTCCTATATGCAGGCCTCGAAGGGGAGGCGTTAGGGTTTTATGTGATGGGTTTTTGGCCGCGTAGCCCTTAACTGGGTTTGTTCGGCCTCTATTACCCTTCTTAGACCTCCTTAGACATGGGTACGGTAAATGTTGGTTTTGGATTTCATTATCTACTCAAGTAATTTGGGCCTTTATTTCTTGCACTCTTTTTGGCAGGCCCTATGGATATTTGGTATCAACAACTACTGAAGAATCCCTGAGGCACGATATTCGAAGATCAATTCCTTTAGAAGTTGTATCCAATTTTGGACATCAACAATTTAGCACCTTTTATGGGAATCGTTGCTTGACTTCCCACTCCTTTGCTAACCATACTGGACTCCTCGCTCATTAGGCAGTTTCGCCTCCTTGACACCTTACCTCTTAGAATCTCGATGTCGAGTGATGCTAGCCTCGACACACAACTTGCCACGCCTCATCCTGAATCCTCCATGAGGAAGAGGACTAATGAGTTCGACTTACAAGCTCAACTCGACCAATTGCGCGTGGACATGACCAAGGTCCAAGAGCACAACAATCAGCTGCACAGCCAGAATACTGATTTGAAAGAAGACTACCGCTAGTTGACCACGAAACGGGTAGAAGCCCAACGACAGTTAGCCAAGCACGCGTAGGCTACCGAGTAGCGCTTGTGCAAGTAGCACACTACACACATTATTATTCACATTACCATTCTGTTAATGAGAAATTAAAAACATGAGATAGATAGGCCAAAAACAAACTAATAAGAACAAAATCTATGCAAGGCAAGAACACAAGTAATTCAACCCCAAAAATTAGAAGGCAAATGTTTATATATTTATTTTTGGCTAAGTCCATATCCGCAAAATTAGAAAAAATTCGAAATCTTTGGTCAATAAGAAAAGAAAACCAATTTTGTTAAATTACTTTTTGAAAAAAATAATGGAACAATTTTATTCATGTTTTAATTCATTATTGCGGATGGGAACTACGGTCTACCATCAAACAGTAGACAATAAAGCCACCTCTTATCTCGAACTAATATGGATAGATAGCAATTTTCCAAAGGCTTCATTTGCAGAGACAGAGAGCTCCAACAATGGCTACTAGTACCACACCCTCATCCCTCATGCTAACGTACGCCTCCTCCTCTGTGCACCCACAAGACTTCACTCCCTCGCTCGTCTCCTTCAAGCCCAAGCCGCTCTTTAAAACTTTTTGTCTCTGCCCACTGGTTTTGAGGCCTAGAGAGAGAAGACCAAGCAAGTGGGTCAATTTGAGTTTGTTAAAGGAAGCCAAGTCTGAGCCTTACCCTGTCGCAGCGACTGCTTTGACTGCTGAGGCAGAGGTGGCTGAGGATGTGGCTGACGATGAAGAAGTAAAAGGCGATAGTTCTGTTACCGTTGCTGTTCCAAAGCCCAAGAAAGGGAAGGCTGCATTGCTTTTAAAGAGGGACAGAGTAAGTATTTTCGTCATTATCTTCTGCCAGCTTGGTTTTCCCAATTTTTTGGGGCGAAATTTGTTTTCTTTTTTGGTTATCTTGTTTGTGTGTCTTCATTAAGGCTCCAGGATTTAAATTTCGGAAGTTATTGCATTTTTATCGAAGCAAAGTATGCCCAGTGATTCTTGTATTGTTCTTTTACCTTTAATTTTGTTGTTGTTGAAGAATATCGATTCATTTAGAAATGGGATTAATGGGTTTTTTCTTTCTTATCACTTCAAAAATTGTGTCAGAAAAACCCTTCGTTGAATTCTGTAAGGAAGTATAGTCACTAACTTTTTGTAACTTATGCTTCTTCAGATTCTAGAAGGATTGATTGAGTAAAGTAAGGTCACGTTATTGTCTTGAAAAAGACACTGGTTCTACAAATATAATACATACATTCTTCAAGTTTGATGGTTTTTCTGTTGTTCGTATAATTCTAAAGATTGAAGAAACCCCTAAAGTTATTTTTTGTAATTTGGTTTTAGTTGATTTATATTCGTGCAATGTCCTGTTTTTACATTCTTCCAAGATGTCAGTACTGATTCAAACGCTCAATTGTCTTCTGTTCAAAATGTCAGACAAGGTCCAAAAGATTCTTGGAAATTCAGAAATTGAGGGAAACCAAAAAAGAGTATGAGCTGCAGCCAGCAATAGCTTTACTGAAAGAAATGACCAATACAAAATTTGTAGAAACTGCTGAAGCTCATTTCCGCCTCAATATTGACCCAAAATATAATGACCAACAGCTAAGGGCAACTGTGAGTTTTTTTATCTTGTTAGTTAGAAATATGTTTAGGCTTATCAACTGCTTAGCAGTACATTATTTTCTTTCATGTGTTATGGAATTCTTGTCCTAGGTAAACCTGCCCAAGGGAACTGGACAGACTGTTAAAGTGGCTGTTCTTACTCAAGGTAGTTACTCTCTCAATTTCTCTTTGTACTATTGTCCTTAATGGATAAAAAGTAAATATATCTGTCATTTAGTATGAGCTAAGGAGATGTGGTTTAACTTACTGAGGATACAAGTTGGAAATTTCAACCTAGAGAATGAAAAGTAGAGGAGCATAACTGTGCAAACAATTTCCGCATTAGCATGGATTAGCTAGATCTATTATTCTTGAAACTGCTATCTTATTCTCTATAGGTAAATTGTTCTGTCAATTAATCCTACAAGGCAAGAACAAGTAACACCTTTACTGAGTGGGGTTTTATTTTCATTATGCTTTTACCTTGGTTGAAAAGAACAGAAGAAATGCTTGCTTGGCTGAATCTAGGCATCTCTAAATGGTTTTCATCTTCTGTGAAGGGGACTTTGTGCAAATGAATTAGTTGGAGGGGGTATAGTATTCCCATTTCTTCAATGATCTGGTCTTGAAATGATTAATGAGACTTTTTCTGCCACTAATCTTGGTGAATTTCCTATACCTGTCGGTTTCTAACTAGTGTATCACACTCTTCGAAATTCAAATTGGATTGGAGCATTTTTTTTCTTTAAGTCAATTTATCGTATTCTTTTTTTTTTTTTTTTTTATCTCTGATGGCATGGCAATCTCTTAGTCATTTGGTCCAAAAGAGGTTAAAATTTACTCTTAGGAATTGTAAGATTTTTCTCACCTCTTTTAAGAAAAAAATGGAAGTAGTTACTGAGGATGTTGGAGATGTTGCACTTTCTTGCTTTAGCTTATAATTGGCTCCAGTTCTGTTGCTTGTTAATTTTTCACGTTGGCTTGTTTGTATTTAATTTTATATAAATACAGATATATGGTTTCTGTAGATTTAATCCTGTATGAAAAATATGTGTTATATCTACAAAATTGCACCTTAGGTGTTTCATTATTAGCTGGCATAGATTAACCTCAATAGACATGTGCTGTAGTTTTTGAATGATACTAAGATTATGTACGCCTTATACTTTATCTAAAAGTCTCAAATGTTTGGGTTCTCATATTTTTCCTTTCATATTGTTCAAAAATATTCTTCTTCCTTAAGCTTTTTTGCTCCCCCTCAAGCTCATTTTATATCACAAGCATCCATGTGTGCAGGTGCACTCGGGGCTCCTGTGAGTTGCAATAATTTTAAAATGAAAGGTTTTTGGTTTTCATAGTATTTCTTGTCACAGGTTATCTTCTTTAATATCTACAGGTGAAAGGTTTGATGAAGCAAAAAATGCTGGAGCAGATTTGGTTGGTGGAGATGATTTGATACAACAGATAAAAGAAGGATTCATGGAATTTGACAAGTTAATTGCTTCACCAGATATGATGCCCAAGGTGTTGCCTTCATTATTTTGTCTAATCATTTTGATTTTTATAACATACAGTAGGCATCTGGACGTCGAGTAAAAGCTAAAATACTATGGTCTTTTTTTGATTTTTGGTCAACAAAGTTAGGGTTTATGATTGAAATGATAAGGACTAGTTTTGCAGCAGAAAAAGAAACTAGTCAGTTGAAATCTAAATCCTGATGTGCATGATAAAATGCTGACGAATATTGTTTGGTTGTATTCAGTATCCATGTTTATTTTTGTGCAAAATCTTGTGATGTCCCCCGCCATCCCACCCCCACCCCTACAATGCCTTGTACATTTGTAGCATACAATGCTCTCACTTGTTGCTTATGCATTTGAGGACAATAATACAATGCCTGTCATAATGTTAATTTGTATTGATGTAGTAAAGTTCATGTTATTCATAAGTGAAATTAAGAATAAAAAATTGGCATCAAAATACGTCTCATAATTAGACACCCGTGCCACAAAACTAAATAATTAAAAGTAAGAAAGGAAAAGCAATATGTGCTGCCTAAGGAAAAGCAATATGTGCTGCCTGCTTTTCCTTGTGACTTGTTCTTGTGGAGTGAAAAAGGTGACTTCCGTTAGACTAGCTGGTGTCTTCAGCGTTCTTAACTTTCACAATTTTTTACTTTCTATTTTGTATATGCTGTATCTGTGCTTGATAATGGCTGGAAATTATGATATTCGGTTACATTTTATCGTCTTTGATGTTTGTCAAAGGTCGCTAGCCTAGGAAAGATTCTAGGACCACGAGGGCTCATGCCAAATCCGAAAGCTGGTACTGTCACTCCTAATATACCTCAGGTATGATTTGGATTTCAATGTTTTAGTTTTCTTTCTGCACTTGTGGGATATTCTTTCTAGCCCTGAACATTTAACTGGTTCCTAGCTACTGTATAAAATGACCTTATCATATTCTCTGTTTCAGGCCATAGCAGAATTCAAGCAGGGGAAAGTTGAATACAGAGCAGATAAAACTGGTATAGTTCATTTACGTTTTGGAAAAGCTGACTTTCCTGAAGAAGACCTTCTCATAAACTTGCTTGCCGCAGTGGTATATTCTTCTCCTTAATTTCCCAATATCCATTGCTGTTGGAATTGCAATCCACTTACTATGAAATTTAATTTTACTTATGCTTTACCTGACAGAAATCGGTAGAAACAAATAAGCCACCAGGTGCGAAAGGTGTTTACTGGAAAAGTGCACATATTTGCTCATCAATGGGTCCTTCGATTCGGTTAAATATAAGGGAGATGCTTGATTTCAAGCTTCCAACAAATTGAAGAATACTAACACCTGTACATGCTGTCTTTAAATTGTTCATTCAGCCTCTTAGGTGCCACTGTCAAAACTTTGCGAATGTAGTTAGTAAAGATGGTAGGAGAGTAAGGGGATGAAGTGTGAGAGAGAGAGGGTGACCTTGATGTTGTATCTTGGTTGAGACTGTCCCCCATAAAGAGAGCATATTACAGTCTCATCTACCCTGAGTGAGAGTGAGAAAGGCCATGTATTAATTTTGTGATCAATATTATCAACTCTTCACTTTCGATTTTTTATTTATTTTTTGTCAATGAGGGAGATTTTACTGTCGTGTATGCTCAGTTCTTGGGCTGCGGAAATTCTCCATGGTTGGAAGAAAGGGGGTATTCTCCAATTTGCCCATGGTTGGAAGAAAGGGGGTATTCTCCAATTTGCCCGCTACGCAGTGCTGTTTTCCCCTTATATTAATTGAGTTTTTCGCAGTAATGATCCCTCAACTATATCGGTATTTGCATTTGGGTCATTGAACTCAATTATTAGTTGCAGATGTTACTCAACTAGGTGTTTTGTTGCACCATTAGTCCTTCCGTCAAACTCTGTTAAATTTTCTGTAAAAAATGAGGGTAAATTCGGAAATTCATCCACAACCCTCCCCTTCCTCCACAATCCTCCATTGTCGCAACAATCACGATGGAGCTCACTACCACAACACAACCCACACCCACCATTTCTCTGCCCACTACGTACCCTTCAACACCAACCCTTCCTCTGCTGTCGCCGCCGACTCAGAGTCCTACTCCCCCGATGAGATCATCTACCGATCCAACTCCGGCGGCCTCCTCGACGTCTAGCAAGACATGGCTGCCCTCAAGAACTACGATGGCAAAAATTGGGGCGACCTCTTCGACTCCTGCGTCGGCAAGACCACTTGGCCCTAAGGCTCCGGCGTCTGGAGCAAGGAGTAGGTCTTACCCGAGATCGACAGCGACGATATTGTCTCCGCCTTCGAAGGTAACTCCAAAGAAAATCCAAGGCAACCAGCAAGCAAACTGGCTCCAACCCAACAAAGAACACAGAGCAAAGCAACCAAAGATCTAGCTTTTTTATCCAAGCAGACATAAAACAAGGCATAGATCATAGTGAAAACAAACCCAAAATTCAACAGAAAACCATGATTGAGCCTAGCTGGGAAAGTGTACAGAGAAGGTGTGAAGTACAAAAGAACCAGAGAGGTGAAAAATATCGGGTTGCGGCAATGGAGGATTGTGGAGGAAAATGAGGGTTGTGGGTGAATTTTCAAATTTACCCTCATTTTTAATGGAAAAAGTCACAAACTTGACGGAAGGATTAATGGTGCAACAAAACACCTAGTTGAGTGACCTCTGCAACTAATAATTGAGTTCAGTGACCCAAATGCAAATACGGGTATAGTTGAGGGACCATTGCTGCAAAATACCCTATATTAATTTGTTGAAAAAGGAGATTAGTTTGGGCATGTTAAGCACATTGACGGATTAAAGAATTTAAAAGGTTTGTGCACTTTTGAATTAAAGAATCTAATTCAAGGGGAAGGGGTTTGTTTTGTAGACAGTAATGCATTCAAGGTCGTAGGTTTGATTTCCCACTCTATAAATATCGCTTTTATTAAAAAAAAAAAAATAGGGGAAAAAATATTTTAATTCAGGGACTAGTGCTCCAATTTACTCTATTGTTTAACGTGTACATCACCCCCTTTAATAGTGGATCAAGATTCAAGTGCAACTATGGTCCTTGTACGTTTAATTTTTGCAAATTGCAATAAATAATTATATTATATCATAGTAGAAGAAGATTAGTAAACAAGGTAATTTTCTGTTAACCAAGATTAGTGTTTCTCTTCCTCAAGCTGTAGGCCCTCCTTTGTGACCAAACTGTTCTGTTAACCAAGGGTAAAACTGTTCGGATTTCTACCTGTTTTTAACAGCCACCAGTTCTACCTTGATTAATTCATAAATAAAATGGTCCTTAACGTTTACGATTCTCAAAAAATAGAAATTTTAAATGAGTATTTTTTACACCAACTGCCTTGATTTTAGTGAGTTAATTTTCAGACATTAACTTGAATTTCAACACAGGATTATTCTCTTCCAAATCACAGCTCGGCCTCTTCAAACAATACCAGTGTGATAGAAACGGGGAAAGGTTGTTACTCCAACGGATAACCATGCAAGTTATGTAGAAGTAATGAAATGGAAACATCATGAGGCTTGAAATATCAAACGTTTATTTATGTTACACAAACAAGATACTGGATATTCATTGACCATCGATAGAAGCATAAACGAACCATCACGCCTCCAAAATATAATGCTTTTTTGGTTTTGCTTATGCCTAAATCTAATCCTTACTGCACAAATACAAGGCACTCCCTATGAACAGCCATAGAGCCTCCTCCGAGCAACCACGATAAGGCATTTGTGAAAATCATCTGTACAAAAGGGTAGAAACAATTTACACAGGGTTGATCATTTTCGAAAAAATTCCTGATTGCTCCCCATTTCAAAAGGTAATTGTTATTTTCAGCATTGGCTTTTTCCTACTAAGCCTATGACATTTCCCCAGCAATCACCCTGGCTCCAGACTGAATTAACAAAAATGAAAGAATTTTTGGTGAGTAGTTGATAAGTTTCAACATATTAATAGACAATACTGACTGTTAACTCTCGAGTGATGTTTTCACCTTTTGCTGGCTGCTTGATCCAGGGGCCATTCATTATGTTCAAAATGCTGCATGCTTCACTGTAATCCAGATCTGGTAGCAACTTTGGGGTAAGCAAGAAGCATCTGAACAACATGGCACAGAAACCAAAACTTAAGTCACTTTTTACAATTGGGAAGTCAGGCATACGAGAAGCAGAATGCGCTTTGTCAACTCCAACTTATACGGAGTCATATATTCTCAATTGCGTCATTGCTTACACAATCTTGCAATTCTTTTGCTCACATTAGAAGAAGAAACTGTGTTGTTAACCTAAATTATGTACCATGTAAATGATTAGGTTATCCCTCAGCATTCTGGTGCAAACAGCAACACCATTTAAGGAGCAGGTAAATGTGATGTACACACTGAGAGACAGACTACAACAGAGCGCTATTACATACGAAAGGTTGGTGATTATAGCACCCAATACTTGTACAAGAAGTTTCATTCTTGTTCCCATTTTGTTATTTTGCACCTTCTAAAACAGATCAAAATAGAGAGAACGCAGGCACCAAAAAAATAGACAGATAACTATGGCAAATTATGCATAGTGCTCTTACTGTGGTGTATTTGGTTGGGATGCTGCTCTTACTAATTGCTGGAACATCTTTCTCTCATTTATAGGATCCATCCCTGAGAAAATATTAAACGCCGCAATGATTTTTTCTGAGATAGATGGAACTTGATGTGAGGAAAGAAAAAGCAAAAAGCAATCTGTTGTGCAACCAACCTTGATTTATCTCATCAACCACCCTAAATGGGCAATTTGTAAGGTCTTGAAGAGAAACAAGATAAAGTATAGTTGAAACTGAACGCTCCTACAAAATGGGAAGTTTGAGGCACAATAAGGTAAAACTGTTGTATTTGAATCAAGAACTCAAGAATAGTTAGTGTAATACCCCTCCAGATTGATGGTGGGCACTGAGAACTTGTAGCTGCCCTGCTTGTCTGATGACCATAAAGTCAAAACAAATTTGTGTGCAGTAGATACGTATTAACCAGAATTTCACATAACAAATCAAAAGCTGTGAATTCATAGCATCATAGTGGAATAGCAGAAAGTTAAAATCCAGCTATTATTTCCTATGGTAGAATTTCATTTAAGCAGGATATCTATACTATATGTATAAAATGAACTGGATTGGAAAAGAAAAGCAGGCAGTTAGTGGCACTTAAATACCTCTAACAAGCTAGTTGGTGCCCAAAGGTTAAGTTTTTATATATCCTTCAAACACTATCTAAACTATCCACTTTCCAAATTCTTACAAAAAAGTTTCAGAATTAGTTTCTTTTTCTCGAAAAAGTAATTCATAACTGAACTGATGCTAAGTTTTGGACACCCACATCAAACTTCACAAATTTTTCAAAAGGGGGGTTTCACTTCTCTATATTTAAGTAAATAAAAAAAATAACTCTCATAAATTAAACTTCCAAATTTAAATGTCTAGTAGCACCATGAGAGAATATCAGCAGGTCACCTGAATTTTACTTTTATAAGTATCCCAAATTGATCGAAGTCCATTTCATGCTCATCTGAGAAGAAACATTAAATAAAAGGGGGACATGAAACAAATAATAAAAGACATTTTCTTCCACAAAAAAAGAAGACATTTTCTAGAAATTGTAATACTGAGGTACCCAATGAAACTTCCCCTGCAACAGCCATTTCTTGGAAGTTCCAACTGAAAGTCTCATTTATCTGAGCAACAAGGTTTCTTAATGTTGGAAGCCAAGTTTCCTACAAATAATTTAAAATTAGGAAACTAAAAAAAAATATCCACATTAGAAATATACTGATGAAAGTGGGCAAATATGCACAGACACTGATGTTTAGATTAAAAACCCTTCATTACCACTGTTGATCTAAAAAGTTATTCAACTTGACCATCTTGGTAATACAAGTGAGGACTGGAAATGTGAAAATTTGCTCAATGCCTTTGGAATTTGTTGTTTGTTGCAACTAATAAATTGTGGCAGCACAAAAGAACCGCAATTTCAATGGAGGATGTAAACTGCATACAAGCTAACGTTACTCTGAGGACAGATTGTTATGGTATGTAGAATAAGAACGCAAATGCGATACGCACTTAGCCATAAACATGAACAGTAGGTGTCGTGTTAAATAAACGTTATGGACTGCTTCTTGAGAAGTTTAAATGTGAAAGAATATTTCAATTACTTTTTATATGATTAGCGTCCATCATATTTCCTTTTAGAAGTGGCAATAAGGGATGTTTACAAGGATATTCTGGATTGGATCAATTGACTAGAGATTATAATTCATTAAGGAGCAGTACATTGTGGTGACTCTGGGTAGAGTGGTTACAGTGTGAGATCAAATGGCCAAAATTTATTGTCAGGTGTTCATCTAGGAGACCAACAGAAACTTCACAAAACACTCATTAAGGTAACACCCAAGCTTCACTAACCTCTGATTTGACCCAAAAAAAAAGGCTCCACTCACCTTAAGATTATCTACTTCAGCTATACATCCCCTAAGCTCTGCTTTATCTGCTTCCAACTTTTTTGCCTTATCTTCTATCTGCAATATAATTGCAATTTCCGGTGAGGAAGTAAAGAAGAAACAAGAAAAGAAAAGGAAAAACTAGCAAAGATGGCAGAAAATTACCTGGCGCTGGCGGTCTTCATATTCTTTCAGTATATTGTGATTTAGGAAAAGAATAGAATTAGCTTGAGAAATATTTTCCTGTATAGCAGCCTCCAGTTCTTCAATTGTAGTGGGCATCTAGACATAAAAATATAAGATATTATGTCACATTACTCATATGATTAGAAGCAATAAATAGTTAAATTTGAATAACATAATAAGCCTGGAAAGAGGGGAAAGACAAGACAAAAGACAGAAGACAGAAGATAAGATGTTTTATATGGGTTGCCCATTAGGTCCATGCTCATATGCAAGGAACATAAATACTATAAGCATAATATGAAGTGCAATCACTGAGGCCTCTGTCCAAATTCCACTTGGCTCCGTGTTTTGATACTTGCTTTCATACAACTTTTACAGATCCAAATAATGGCTTCCTACTCCATATGTAATTTCACAATAAACATATATACACAGATGTATATGTTGTCATTCTGATATATTTCAATATCCTGAAGAATGACCTACTGGAAATTCTAAGCATTGGATGCCACAAAACAGGTAATGACTGAGCACCTGACATAAAAGTTTGGGGGTTTTTTAGTAACAAAAACTTTGAACCCCACGGAAGTTTTTGCAATTGATTTTTTATTTATTTTTTGGTTACATCAATTAACTCATATATTACAACGCATTCAAACAGAAGTTATCTTTCATGTCTAGTTAACTCATTATATAAAAACCTCAACAAATGCCTTCTCTAGTTCTGGAGTGATCCTGGCAATTAATTCTGCATTCTTCTTGGCAACTTCAAGTTGCTGTCGGAAATCCTCTACTGCCTTCTTACCTGGACAAGAAGCAAAATGGTAATAAGCAGCATTTCCTAAATTATGTTTTTTTTGTCATTCATACAGTAAATTACTTTACAACACAATAACAAAAGTAAAACCAAAGTTATGCACAGATCAAACAGTTTAAACCAAGTTCTAGTGATGGACGAGTCTCAAAGAAAAATGAAAAGCTACTCACACTCCTCAAGATGCAAGGCTGCTTGAAGAGCAACTTTGTCATGCTGCTTGATATTGACCTCCATTTCTTTAATCTAACAAATGAGAAACAAGCACATATCAAGTAATTAGCCTGAAAATATATGTATAATGCAATATTGTATAATAATAACCTTACAACAACAGAAACATGACATCTAAAGATATTTAATCAAGCAAAGAAATAATTCATTAGAACAATACGAGGAAACTTTTTTCACTTGAAAAAACAAATATTTGAACTACTCAGGCCTAAAACTTCAAGGGAAAAACAAATCCACTCATTTTTACATCCTACCTATAAAAAAAAGTAAAACATTAAAAAAATACATTCACTTTAGTTTTATGATTGAATTTTAATAGACTTCCCATGCCTACTTGTGGAGAAAGATGGAGCGACTAATTTACCTTGCATTTAAATAGCCATGCAATATAAATATCTTGAGTTTAAGAAACATTGTGTAACAGATTGCCTGAACAAAATGAGCAAGAAGCCTTGTTTCGTTGGAACACTACAAGAGGATCCAAGCCAACATGACAGAAGAATACTACAAAGATGGTGTCTACATTACCACAACTTTCAAAACTCATAAAAGAAATCTGGAAAAATATATCCTATCGAAATTCATGCCAAAGCCCACTTCTTGGATCTCATATATCCTTCCTACATTTGTCAAGGATCCAAACAACATTTTTGCACTCACCCCGAATCATCATCAACAATTAAACCACACACATACCCCTTTCCTGCCATATGAAAGAACAAAATACAGGTATCTAAAGCAAATCAACCCAGAAGAAAAGTATTCAAAGTTGTCAACATGGTAACGCAAGCCCAACTATGAACTGGCAGCAGCTATTAGTATATTTCTGGATGCAAAGGATATCCATAAAAACTTGACAGTTTCTCTTACAAAAGCTGAGATAACAACGGACTAGTAAGCCAACATATGACAAAATCTATTTCTCAGGAAACAGAAAATAACGCATATCTACTGCACAAATAGATAATAGTTCCTTCAGTTGTTAAATTGTAAAGAGAGGAAGAAAAGACTTGGAAAAGAAAAAAGAAAAAAAAATCATATTTCACAACCTATCAATGGTACTTTCAGTAAACTTATTTGTAAATTTGATAGGTAAACGCAGCATGTAGGAAACAAGTAAGGGCTCAAAACAGCATGTTCTGGACCATCATAGAAATTACCTTTGCATCAAACTCAATGACCCTCATGTGTTTTTCAGCAAAACTCTGTTTTAAAGAAACAGCCTCAGCAAGCAGACACTGAAAAATAGACAGAAAAGTTAAAAGAATGAAGTAACCAAATCCTGAAATCCTTATTTCTGTGCCAAACATTAGTGTATGGCTTAATTTAGATTTAAATCTTGTCACCATCAGAATATCATAACGAAAGTTTGACCAAAACCTGACCTTAATTTCCATCACAGAATGGAATCGGTCAATGTTATGTTTTGCAGCTTGTTCATTGAGCTTTGCCATAACAGTATCCAGGTCATCCTCTTTCTCCATAGATTCTAATTTCCTTCTCCTTTGTACTAAAATCACCACAGTACATTCCAAAATTAAAAAAATAAATGAATTTAAAGCTTCTCAAATAGCAAATTTCTAAATCATTATACTTACCAATACGGTTTTCCATTTCACGCCGTTTTTTCTTCTCATCCTGTACAATTCTGATAATCCCCTCCTAAAAAAATATATTATGATATTCTGCATAAGTGAAGGAATTGCATGCCTAACCGAACTTAGTTAATAAAAGATTGAAGACTATACCGAGATGTTCCCCCCCCCCAAAAAAAACAAAACGCTTGTACAAGAAAGATTAAATTATAGGCAGTATTACTGTATAGGTTATTAATAATAACATTAATGTCATTACCCTCTGTTTCTGAAGTTTAGCTGCTTCCTCTTCTGCTTGTCTTTCTTCAATCTGAAGCGATCTAATGCTTTCCTGTAAAGCAGTAACATATTCTTGAAGCTCCATTCTTTTGGATTTCAGTGACTCAACTTCCCCAGTCTCCAAACCTGAAAGTGAGAATTGAGACCTCAAAGTTTTACCAGTGAAATTTTTGGATTGTGTTAATAGATAAAAAAAGGTCAGTAGAAAGATACCACACAAAAATAGTTGAGAACGTTTCACTGGTTCTACGCTTCCAGAAACATGACCACCGTATCTAGATACTGACCACCGATAGTGATTCTCTGGAGTCCAAAAATCTAATATCCCCAACTTTGAAACCTTATCAGCCTTCTGATCAGTTTCCTTGGACCCAATATACTGAGAAAAAAAAAAAGGAAAGAAACACAAAAACATACATACTTTTGTATGAGAAAATATGCGTGTATATATACAGAGACATACAAGTTAAGTCAAAATACTAAGTACTAACTGACAATTTCAACTTCCTAACATCATAGGGTTGACCTTAGGGGTCGTAATTGGTGTTAAGGTGCTGTGTCATTTCATGTTTGTGCAGTCGACTACCAGTAAATCCTAATGCAACCTGTTTAATTAATGTGTCAAATTACTCAACATTAACCCACCCGAAAGTTACCTCAATTTCTAACCAAACCAATCACTTATAAATAAGTTAAAGAATAAAACCCAAATAATCAAGATAGTAATAAGGGTTAATTTCAGTTTGGTACCCTGAAGTTGTACCCTTAAGGCATGTTTGTCCATGGACATTCAATTTTAACAACGCAGTGCCCCGGTATTGAAAATTTGTTGCAATGTGGTTCTGTCGTGAAATTGACTGTTAAAAAATATGTTAAGTGCTGACATGGCACAATTGGAACCCAGTTTTTTGTTTAATTGAAATAAAATACTATTAAAACATATCGGGAGGGCTAGCCAGCCGACGCCACGCTCCTCACTCTCCTCGACAACCATCACCGAACCGTAGCATTGGCCCCACTCTCACGGCCTTGGACTCGTGTCCCAAACCTCTCAAAATCATCAAGCTCGGCTCCAGAACCGGTCTCGTCAAAATCGCCGCAGCCGTCACGCTGGGCCTTGGTGAGTGAGTGAGAGAGAGAGAGAATGGTGGATTTGGACGTGGGGGAGGAACTAGGCAGTGGCAATGGAATTTGAGCGACATATTTTTGCCCAGAGAAAGAGTTGCAGAGAGAAAGTGAGAGTGCGATGAAGTTTTTTTTTCGTTGCCTTTTTTCAGTTTTTTAATATTGAATCATTATTAATTAAATATTTAATTAGAGTTTTTTAATAATAATTTTTTTCAATTAAACAAAAAAATGGGTCCCACATGCGCGACGTTATCACTTAACATATTTTTTTAAACAGTCAATTTAACAATAGAACCACATTGCAACAAATTTTCAATACCGATACCCGGGTACTGCATTGTTAAAATTGAAAGTGCGTAGATAAACATGCCTTAGAGCAACTCCACCCACTTGCCCTTAGCCATGGCAAGGGGGGAGCTAGGGCAGTCACTATTCACATGAATAGTGGTTGCCCTTGCAAATAGTATTTTGTGTTTCCACCCGTTGCCATGGCTAAGGGTAGTTACTATTCATTTTTTTGTTTTATTCACAAATTTTTTCACCTCAATAATTAATTTCGATAATATTTTCGAATAAGATTTCCGGGTTCCTACGTGTCAAGACTATTCATAATCGGATAAAATTTCCGGATAAGATTTTTGGGTTCAAATTTCGGATGAATTTCAAAATTCAAAATTCAAATAAATTTTTGGGTTCAAATTCCATTTTCCCAACTCTGAGAATTTTCCACCAACTCGACAATGCCATTTCCGTACGAGTCGACCTCAGAATTTTTTCACAAAATTCAGCTTGAATTTTTTTCCACATATGGAAAAATTTCATCTCATTGCCTGTCACGGGACAATGACAAACTTGGAGCCAAGCCTCACACAAAGAAACATCTTCCATGGTGCTCCACGCCCCTCCGGTTTCGATAGAAGAAGCCATAAAAATAAGAAATAAAAATATAAGGTGAAAGAGAGAAAAATGTTGAGTAAAGAGTGAATAATAGTAGAAGTAGAATAAAATGTATGAGGATTGGTGTTGAAAGTGAAGGGTATTGATAGGTATTTATGAAAGAAGAAAAAAAATCATAATTTTTTAGTATTTTTTTAAAAAAATTTCGATATTTTTTCATAATTTTATTGCCAAAAATATGACAGCCGACCAGCTGTTGGATGAGGATTGGAGAAGCAAATCGGAGCACTGGGGGCGTGACACGTGGCTTCCAACCGTTGGAGCCTGTGTTACGCTGATGTCAGCGCACGCTGGTTTAAATTTTTTTTACCGTTGGCGCGTGCATTGCAGGCGCCAACGGTAAAAAAAATTTAATCCGCCCACTGACGTCAGCGCAACGTCGCGATGACGTCACAACCCTCGACTTGAACCTCAGGCCAGACCGAGTTCGTGGGACCCACCCCCGGGGCCTTGGCTCACTGCTGGAAACAGCTTTTTTTTTTTCCCCAGCCTTGGGCTCAGCTCCTTGCTGGAGTTGCTCTTAAGGGTACAACTTCATGTACCAAACTGAAATTAACCCTAGTAATAAACCAATAGAAATTATCCGATATAAAACGACCCATACAACACATATGCTTATCATGGCAAATTCGATCTCCTCATGTTTGACACTAACCCAACCTGTTTACTATTTGTGTTACCCAATCATGCCATATAGGCATTTGTGTCCAGTATGGGTGAACCCAAACCCATTAACTTCTTGTCAGGTTCGACTCTTGTTACAAGGTTGTGTCCAAAACTTCCATCCTAGCTAAAATGACCAATTGCCCGTATGTTTAACACATTATTTGTAGATTTTATAATTTTTTTGCCAATATACAAGGAAAGAGTAAGCTTGGGATGCATACCGATCTATCCAAACCGAATTGGCTAGTCAAAACCTCCTTCACAGCAGTAGGAGCACCAAAAACTTGGTCAAGCCGTGAATAAATGCCCAGTGCACTCATCTGCTTAAGAGAATAAAAGAAAACAAAAATAAAATAAAATACTAAGCCTAGTTCAAATATTATATGAAATACGGCACCGGCGGCACATACCTCCTCAGAAATTTGAAAGGCTTCTGTCTGACAACCTCCATGTCCCACATAATTTAAAACCGGAACATCAAATGGCTTCAGATTTTTTACCAAAAAGTCACGATCACGAGAATCTTGAGTTATGAAAGACTACGGAACAAGAAAAATAAGATCAACAAATAAGGATTTTCAAGCTAATGAGTAAATAAGTGTTAATGTAATATGAGGTACTATTTTATCAAAAAAAACATAGCACCACCCACTATCAAGTGCTTATCCGAATTACAATTGCACAAGTTACCGGCACATAAAAGGTGAAATCCAGCCACAAACGGCTAGGGAGCAGGATGCATGTCCACCAATGTATACAGAAACACACACATGGGGATATATATATATATATATATATATAGAGAGAGAGAGAGAGACAGACAGAGAGAGATAGACAGAGTAAAAAAGTATGAAGAATTGACTAAATTCTGATAGGAGATACCACTGCCCAAACTTAGGGAAGGAGTTAGTTCATGTATAAAGTTAATCTATGGCTTCATAGTCTTTTTTTTGTCGATAATGGAATAATAGGTCTGAGCAGTGCAAAGTTAAGGTTTAATTCCTGGTTAGAAGAAGCGTTGGGGAAAAGGTTTTAGCACAAATGCATCCAGACTCATCTATGAGGTCTCATCAGGTGAATATGGCATGTCAATAGATTGCAAAACTATGCATTAGTTAAGTTAGATTAGCATCTCCCCCTCAAATTTTTAAAAATTGTATACAAAACTTTCCAGCTATTGTATCGTGTTCTTTCTACGTCCCTCCATCTAATTTCCCTTGTGTACAGACCTTTCTCGAGCACTTGAGGTCTCCAGATTTACAAAACAAAAACGTTGGTCAGATACCTGGTGTAAACCTTATAAAAAACAAACTTGAAAATGCTTAATTATCTAGGAGTCCAGAAGCCTGATATTTGATGTTAGGCAAAACATTTTTGTTAGTAAATGTTAGGGAAGAAATTAACATGGCTTGGTGCATTCCTAAAGATTGTTTGGCTTTGCTTTCAGCCAATTTTGATGCGCTGGCAAGGGGAAGAAAGCCAAAATCCTTTGGGGTTGCCTGGTGCAGGCAATGCTATGGAGTATTTGGATGAAGCGTAATAGAAGAATTTTCGATGTTTACAAGGGGGGTGGGGACGACCAAGTTATGGAACAGAATGAAGTTTTGGGTTGGGCAGCTTTGTGGGCCTCTGTGACTCCTGTCTTTAAGGATGGGGCGTATGCTTCCATTAAGGAGAGACTTGAAAGCAGCTATTATGTGATTTGAATCTAAGGCTTCTATTGTTCTCTGTTTTTTCTGTGTTTTGCTGTTCGCTGTCTGTTTCTCTTTTAAAGCTCTTGTTTGTGTTGTTCTAGGCCTTGTGGATTTCTTATCCACCTGTACATTCCCTGTTCTTATTTGAACATATGAAGTTTCTTTTCAGAAAAAAAAAAAATTGTTAAGCAAAATATAAAATAACAGAAATATAATTACCTTCCAGATGTAATATGGAACATGACCATCTAAGTAGTCAGCGTGAAGCCGATCTGACACATTGACCTGAATTTGCACCCAGAAGAGCATTATCCGTAATTTGTTAAATCACATTCATCAGTAAACACAACATTCTTATGTTTTAAATACATACCTCAAGCAACACTGGGCCATATACCTCCTTATTGAATTCATGACGGTGTTCTTGCAGCCAATTATAAGCATCAAATATCTTATCTGCTCCTGAATTTCGTAGAGTCCGTAAGAGTTTACTATTTTTATTTTCCATCTCCTTCAGCCTGAAAACGGTACAGTGAAAAATATTCAAAGGAACAGTATAAAGGCAATTGTACATCATTTAACCTTGAGGCAGATTTTACTTGTCCGAGCAGTTGATTAGGTGAAGATTCTTTTGATTTAAAAGTTTTTCCTTCTCTGATTTCTGATTCCTCTTTTCATTTGCAGAAACTTCTAACTCCACGATTTGAGCACGTAATCTCATCTGATCAGGAATATTAACTCAGTCACGGGAGGGAAGAACTCAAGCAAATCAAAAGTTTGATAACCCCACAAAAACGGTACAGCATGTTAGTTAAAATTTTTTAAATAAAATAAAATAGATGTTAAATGATTGTTCTGAAGTAATAAGTGTGCTACATTGTAAACTAGATACTATTTGCACCAAGAAAACTTGACACCCCAAAGAAAGGGAATCACAACCACTTAAAACTGGTTCACCTAAAACCAGTTTCATTTGTGTCAACTGGTGAAATTTGATCCATGTATATTAGTCATACATACCAAGGACTGCCTGAAAATATTGACATTCTGACATTCAATTCAAAACTTACAATTTCATCCGTAGGAGGTTCATAAGGAGTCAGATTTTCAAGTTCTAGCTCAGCAGCAGCTAGATCCTCTTTTGCTTTTAAAATTCTTTGTTGACGAGATTCTTCTTGCTTCCTCAAGTCTTCCATTTCTTTGTATTTTTCTTGTACTAGCACCCCCTACCAATATGATACAAAAATTGGAGAACAAAAGAAATCCAATTATCATTCTAATACTAGATAAACCTAAAACACCAATAAAAGGAATCCAGTAGCATTTTAACATACCAAATGGTTTTCTTTCTCCAAAATTTTCATGCGTTTGTTTGCATTCTCAGTAATCATTTTGCCTACTTTTTTACTCTTAGATTCCAATGTCACTCTATCTTGCTTTTGTTTCCTGCAACCAATAAAATAATAAGTATACCAGCACCTAAAATAGGAACAATGTCATTGCAATGATATGGGCTGTATGTATGATCATGTGTGCACACCCCATGTCCTTGCAGAAGAAAATTAAGGGAGGAACAACTTCTTAAACTCAACATTTTCCACAGGTTAAAAATACCATCACAGTTCATATCAATTAAAACTGGCAAGCACAACTTAGTGGTCGAGATAACAAAAGATAGTCTTGTAAGAATTAAATGACCAAAAATGAAGAAATGAAATACAACAAGGATATGCCTGTAGGATCTACATGTTTTGGGTTGGGGTGAGAAGAAAACATAAAATAACAGAAATTTAAAATCCAATAAAAGAACACCTAAAAAAATGGGAATGCACATTGTTACATAAGCATTTTGATGTGGGGAGATACAGCAATACAATCGAATTCGGAACAAAGTTAGTAGAGTCCAGTGAAAGAAAACCAAGAGAAACTCTATAATCCGATTTTCTGGGATTATATTGATAAAAACTGAACACAAAAATCCTAAGAGACTATTTATATTAGGTTACAACAGCCCTGGTATTCTAACCCTTTATTATTATGATACCTAATACATCCTAGCCCAATTAGAACTACTCAAGTAATATACAACATAAAATCAAAGATGACAAATAAGAAGATAATAAAACAACTAGTCCCCAAGTTAACTAGGACCCTAGCCTAGTTGGCTAGCGAGCCCAATCAGTCTTGAAAAGCCTTGTAGATGCTCCAGCATCACATTTGTTCTGAGAGCGTAAGATTTTTGAGCTGCTAATAATGTTAAACATGAGCTCCTCATTGGAGGGGCAATGTCTAAAAAAGATAAGATTACGTCATTCTAATATCCATATGCAAAAAGCTAAAATCAAGATCTAGCATATGGGATGAAACTCGGGCCTTTCCCATACAAAAACCAAAAATTAAAAAGTTGTCCACACACCCAAACCCAAAAGAGTAAAGAAAATATTAAAAACTAACTTCACATTGTGAAAAAAGTTATAAGATTAAGCCCTAGTACTCATGTAGGAACTGAGTACACCACTACATCTCATGAAGGGCATATAATCAAAATAACAGGATTTTTAGTACTTCAAAAAAATGTATGGCAAGCTTAATTATGTCAAGTATCACAAAAATCTGTAACACACAAACCTCAATAAATCAATAAATGACTCTAAAACCAAAAAAAAAAAATGTTGTTTCAATGCACGAACATATTATGCATGACTATAATCAACTAAATGAAGTCACCATACTCAATAGGTTCTCTAAGATCATTTAGAGTTCTTGCAGCTTTATCCAACTTCTTAGTTGCATCCTTTTCCTGCTTCATAGCTTCCATGTATTCGGCCTTCTTCATGTCATACTTTAGCCATGGCAATTTCTTTCTCATGGTCTCAGCCTATAGATGACATCACCAAAGAAAACTTAATTTTGGTTGAGTTTGTGAGAAGCAGAAGGTTTTTAGTCTTCTTTTTTTTTGTTTTTTTGTTGGGGGGGTGGTGGTGGGTAGGGACGCGGGTTAGGAAGGACCGATTTTTTAGAACCAAGGGGAATGGGAGGAGAGTTTATGGGATAAAGTGGGTGTCCGTTTAACCTGCATTTAAGGATCAATCTTTCCATTTATTATGCTCTTAGGGGGTAGCAGCAACCAGCCAGGAATGTGCTAGATTTATCTTTGTGTTTGTTTTTGAATCGGTAACTTATTAGGTTACTTTTCTTTAGCTATTACAGTTTTTGAGGTCAGTCCTGTTTTCTGGCTGGTGAATTAGATTGTGTATTTGTACTGGCCCTCAGTGGATTTGTCCACTGCATTTTGTAAGTTTGACAAATCTTTTTTATAAGAGTTTGTAACTTATCAGAAAATCAAATTGCCATTGAGTGCATGTATGATGATCAACAAAACCGAAAGGCAAACCTTTGCTAGAAGTTCTTCTCTTTGGCGGACACGCTCAACATCTTTCTCTTGTTCAGCATTGAGTGCCTTCATCTGATTCAAAGTTTCTCCATTTTTTTCTACAGCCTAATCAGAAAAGTCAAAAGTCTACATAACAGGATAAAGTTTTATAAAATTGTATTACAGCGAATATTAGAGACTCACTTGCTCTATTCTCTTCCATTTCTTGCTTTGCTCAATAAGCGCACGATGTTGGATTGGCAGTTGAGGATCACCTACAGCCTTTTCAGTCTCTTCTAGAAGTTGTACTGGAGTTAATTTGGCAAACTCACAGACACGGTCTTGTGGTAAAAACTACACCCACCCAACCAAAAAAAAAGGATAAAGAGAGGAAAAATGATCAAAGAGAAGAAAAAGACAAAAACACAGGCCAAAATTCATAATTTAGCTACAAACTTGTTAGCAACAGATTCAAAAGTATCATAAATACAAGTTAAAACCACAACATCCGAAAGAAGAAAAATAACAGGAAATGTAATCAACAGAATGATGTAGCGGCAAACAACTCAACAATAAGATAATCATTATATTTACATCCCTAGGCAACCTTTATTACTTCAATACATTTTTACCCATTCTTTTCAACAGAAATTAACTAGAAAAATTTCAAATGATTGAGAATCTTCAATGCAGATGGAATATAAAAAAAAATTCCCCAAGTATAACCAATACAAGTAAGCACACACTCCAATCAAAATTAAAAGAGTGGCATTTGCTAACAGGACACAAGACAAAAGTAACTCTTAATGTAACTAGAACTGTGAAACACAAACAATGGGATGAAGATAAACTTAAAGATGAGGTCTCTTTTAAGTGGTCCTCTGCCTGATAGTTGAGTTATTAGACTAAATCAGTCCAACTTTATATTAATATAAGCACACTCCCCATCTTCTCAACTCTTGTAAGAATAAACTTTGTATCATTCCCATAATATTAAAGACCAAGGCACCAAAAAAATAAATAAATAAATAAAGCATCAATGATGCAGAAGCATCTACGAAGCTCTCTAAGATTACTTAGGCCCGTCAGTCAATTGGGCTAGGGTTCTATTTACTTTAAATTATTAGTTACTTCTTTTGTTTTCCTATTCTTACTAGGATTTGGTTTAATTTCCTGTTTAGGTTTTTACCTTCTTGTGTCAATTAGGTTTTCTATATTCTAGTATAAATAGGCTATTAAGAGACTCTTGTATTTAGTTTTTGTTGATGAATATAATTTCAGACTTTAGTCTATAGAGTTTCTATTGGGATTTTGCCCTAGAACTCAGTTATCTTCGTTCCAACTTCGATTCTACTGCTTTATCCTTCTATCCTCGGTATTTTGGGTATGTTTGGTCGCTGGACAGCAGCTTATAGCAGCTGCCCTGCATCAAATTGGTATTAGAGCCTAGGTTAATCCTTGTTCCACACCATGGTTGGACGTGCTAGAGGTCGTGGACGAGGGAACCAAGCCCAACACACAGAGATGGCTGAGATGTGGCGTATGATGGAAGAGTTGTCGAGAGCGGTGCAAGCCCTCCAACGACAAGAACGCGCAGATGCCTATATGGAGATTCCGGAATGCAACCGCGAACCCTTAGACATACCGGAAGGTGGTCGTAAGGATGACTTTGAAGAAAAGGTAAACCCCTTTCATGAAGCTGGAGGCCATGATGATGGTGATAGAGGGGGATTGGAAGGAGCGGTTCGCTCTGATTCTCCAGTTAGTTCCCTAGATTTAGATATTCCCCCCATATTTGATCGTTGTATGGAAGACGACTGTGAAATTTGTTTGAGGTGGAGAGAAGTTTTGATTTTGACAATGTATATGGTGAGAATAAGCAAGATGAATCTAGTGTGATCTTGAAGGTGGTGGATCAAGAAAAGGTTGGGTCTGAACTTTTGAAGGAACACAATCCATACAAGTTTGCAGGCAAGGTGACACAAGAAAGTCTTGAAGGAACCATTAGAGATGAGATGACTTCTTGTGATACTTCTGAGTATGTTGATTTTCTTGGGGTTGATGCTTTTGATTTGAAGATTGCCAAGAACTTCGTTGATCATATCAATCTAATGGCTTTTGGATTGAAGAGTTTCTGGGCTGCGAGGTTGTATACAGTAGATAACTTGAATTGTTCTAGAAGGATTAAATATTCTAAGTATCTATTTCTTTGGAATGGGAAGGTTCAATTTCAAGGCCAAAGTTGTATAGACAATTTATGTAAGTGGAGGTTGTGATTGGGCAGTTTTCAGCAAAAGGTTGGAATTCAAGGACGAATTCTTCACAATCTGGTGGAATTGATGCAAGAACTTCGTTGATCATATCAATCTAATGGCTTTTGGATTGAAGAGTTTCTGGGCTGCGAGGTTGTATACAGTAGATAACTTGAATTGTTCTAGAAGGATTAAATATTCTAAGTATCTATTTCTTTGGAGTGGGAAGGTTCAATTTCAAGGCCAAAGTTCTATAGACAATTTATGTAAGTGGAGGTTGTGATTGGGCAGTTTTCAGCAAAAGGTTGGAATTCAAGGACGAATTCTTTACAATCTGGTGGAATTGATGCAAGAATTTGGAATTCATGGATGAATTCTTCACAATCTGGTGGAATTGATGCAAGAAAATAAACATAAGTATTCATGAGTAGTTCGATATTCAAAATATCTCTTTGTTTGGAAAGGAAGAATTCAGTTTCAAGCTTCTCATGGAGTATATTCAAAATACCTCTTTGTTTGGAAAGGAAGAATTCAATTTCAAGTTTCTTATGGACTCTTCGTTGATAACAGTGTAGACTCAAGGACGAGTCTCTTCCAACCTAGGGAGTTTGATGCAGGAGCATCTACGAAGCTCTCAAAGATTACTTAGGCCCGTCAGTCAATTGGGTTAGGGTTATATTTACTTTAAATTATTAGTTACTTCTTTTGTTTTCCTATTCTTACTAGGATTTGGTTTAATTTCCTGTTTAGGTTTTTGCTTTCCTGTGTCAATTAGGTTTTCTATATTCTATAGGCTATTAAGAGACTCTTGTATTTAGTTTTTGTTGATGAATATAATTTCAGACTTGAGTCTATAGAGTTTCTATTGGAATTTTGCCCTAGAACTCAGTTATCTTCGTTCCAACTTCGATTCTACTGCTTTATCCTCCTATCCTCTGTATTTTGGGTATGTTTGGGTCGCTGGACAGCAGCTTAATGCCGCTGCCCTGCATCAATCAATCTTTTAAGGATATCAAATATAGAAGTTTCTACCATCTATTGCTATTCTCCCTAAGTAATTATTCGTCCAACATATACATTGCCTCTCTACTGTACCAAGAAATTTGCATAAGAAGGGGCTACTCTATACAAGGTATGAGGAACTGTTATTCATAATCCAAAAAAGTCATCTTGCACACTTTTTATATAAACTTAATGAATGAGTGAGTGAACTATGAGGAGTGCAATATGACTTTTTTGGAGTGTGCAACAGTTCCCCAATTATAACCTTCAAAATGGTGCCTTTTGAAATATTTATTTTCTGTCTCTGAAAATCAAAGGCAACAAAGAACACTTATCAAGCTAAAAAGTCTGACACACTAATGTACAAGAGTCCAGCAGCTTCGAAAGGAATTTAACCAACAAAAACATGTATGTGTATGTATATCAAAAAGTAAAACCGCATTCAAACATAAAAGATTACAAAATTCATACATGCAATGCTGAGATTGTAATTTTAGAAAAACTCACTTGAGTTAAATTGTTGACTTGGATATTAAACCTTTGAATGATTTCAGCTACATCTTTTTTAGGCACCACTTTTCCTGAAATACAAATAATGATAAAATAGAAGTCAAAGACTTCAGATTATTCCTCTGTCTTCTCAATAAAAACAATGGATAAACAACGCCTCTTAATATGGGTAGATAGCTTGTTTCCTCAATAATATAGGATGAGAGAGAGAGAGAGAGAGAGAGAGAGAGCTGGACCAATTTTGTACTTTCTTCTTTCTAGATCAAGCATATCATCCAATTTCCTACTTTATTGCATGATAATGGCAAGAAACTTTAAACAAAAATTCAGAAAATGGAAAAAACAAGCACATGTAACATCAGGTAAAAGGAATGCTAAGTAAAGACACAGTATGGAAGCACAAATGTTGAAATGGAAATTAATGTATAAGATAGATTACAGAAACTACTAAAACCCAAGTCATAGCAATAACTATAAAATCATAATTCTATAAAGGAGGGAGCGGGACAAGCCTATGGAGCAAATGATCCTCCTTTTTCTGGGAAAATGTAGGGAATTCTTATTCATGATACTTTTAAGGGGTTAAAAGTAACAAGTATGCTAACATTTTTATTCATGACTAGAAACTACCTCAGGTTTCTTGCTCAAAAAAAGAAAAAAAAAATAAACTACCTCACGTTTCAGCCTTGAGACATCACTATGTTTTGGTTCAAGAAAAATTGTAGACAAAATGGTTGAAGACTATAATCGCTTTTGAGAATTATTCCATGTATTAAACTCCTTACCATTGTATAACCATTCAGATTTGTTACGTGTATCAATCTTACGTATAATAACAATATCCTCCTCTTTAGAATTCCCTCTCAAGGTAATTTTAATATAACCGGATGCCTCCCCACGCTTCACATATGCTCCAACACTGGTCGCCCTCCCAAGTAACTGCACTTAACAAATTCCCCATCTTTATATACTCTTAAAAAAACTTATGAAATGTAATAACATCTGTTACCAGATATTAACTAACCTGAGGCTCACCACCCAGACCCAGTGCTATTGCACACACGAGAGAGCTCTTTCCAGAACCATTTGGTCCAATTACAAGGTTTAAACGAGACCCCGGTTTGCATTTTAAGTCATCAAAGGTCATAAAATTATGGAGCTCAATCTCAGTTATACTTCCCGGCATATAGTCATCTTCACCCCTGTAAGAAAGAGAAGATAATCGTTAAATATTCATGTAGTTGCTGATCAAAACAAGAAAACAAACGAGATAAAGTTTCACTTTCATCTTTTATATAGATATATAAATGGAAATTGAGTATACAGTATATATCCTTGATTTCAAGACAAGGAAGTCAATTCAACATAACCACATAGATGTCTTGTTGTTTCTGCGTAGACTTAGGGTCTCTAAAAGGTCCCAAATGACAAAATTTTAAATCTTTACTACTGTACTACATTTTTTTTAAAACCACACATAAGCATTTAACATTGTAGGGGTGATTTCCTTAATCCTCAGCTTAATTGCTTAACATAATAAGAAAAGACAAGGAAAATAATCAAATGTTTATTTAAATAAATCATTATTGAAAAAGACAAAATTAAAAAAGCAAACATTAATTTTTTTGGTAACCAAACAGATAGTCAAAGAACAAATGCAGTGAAAACGAAAAATCCTAATGCTAAACAAGATTGACAAACAGAGTAACCAAAGGAAACGTTAAAAATTTCAATGTTGAACAAATCTCCGTACCTTGTAATCTTGGGGCGCTTTGCGCGAGGCTCGGCCATTGTCGAATGTTGCCGCGCTACTTTCTGATGCTTTTGAGGTCTATCTGAATTCTGAAACCCTAGGTTCTAATCGATTTAGGACATCGGAGTAAAAGCTAGGGCTTGGAAGTGAGAGAAGAAATGGCGCCAAAAGAGAAAAAGTGGGTCTATGACTATTTATGTAATGGAGAGCTTCACTCGGATACGTGAGGTTTGCTCTTATTCCAACCTTACCTCACATGTTTGATTTATTCCAATAACACCCCTTATTTTTATAGTTTTTCTATTTAAACCCCACACTTTTCTTTCTTCACCCCAATACTTAAATCATTGGGACATTTTGGAAAATACCAAAGGAGAGAGAAATATTTTTAAAAGAAACCAAAATTGACAAAAATGCCCTTATTTATTTTTGGATTTCCTAAGGAATCTTTTACATTTGCATGTCTTTGATTTGAAAATTGAGAAGTTTTTTATTTTTTATTTTTAAAGTTTTGGCTTTATAAAAAAGTGAAAGTTTTTTTGTGGCTAAAACCTAAATTTACTTAAATGATTAAGCTCTTAAGTTTTATTATTAGGTAAAAAGATAAAATAAAATAAAAAAGTCATCTAACTTAATACTTAACCCTAATACATTTATACACACCCGACCACTCTTCATGTTAAATTTTATAAAAACACAAACATATGGACACTTGTAACCACTGGAGGAACCTCTTGAGCTTGGTCTCTTCTAGTGAGCTGGCCATTGTAGTATATGCCACTATGAGAATTGATTGGTTTTTTAAGAGAGAGAGAGAGAGAGAGAGAGAGAGAGAGAGCAAAGGGATTTTAACAGGTAATAGCTTCAAGTGTTTCTATGCTCTCAAAAAGAAAGCACCAAAGCCGTTGCCTAAACTTTTCTTTGCATATTGGATTTTAATGTTGGTAATGAAAGAAATGGGGCAATTGAGAAAGAAAAAAATTATACATTTTTCACTTCTAACCATGCACAACCCTCATCATCCACTGCTTCTTCATCCCCAATTAATCAAATTCCAGTTACATTCACCCCAAATAAATAAACAAAAAATATGAAAACAGATTGAATATACAAAACAAATTCGGTTGATTTTATTTTATATAACAATTTGGGAAAGTGTTTTGAACCCTATCAAACCCTGGCACCCCTCCCATGCCAATTTAACTGTCAACATTTCTCTATCAAAACCTCCTAGTTCATTCTCAAAATTTTAAACAAAATGAATAATAATAATAATAATAATAAAATAATAATGCTACACATTTGACAACAATGTTTTTATCTCTTTAAGTAATGTGAGGTATAGGTGAACTTATAGTGGTGAGGGGCCAAATAGTGGGGTGTGGGGTGGATGGGTTTTTTTTTTTTTTTTTTTTTTTTTTGCTAAGTGTGAATTTAGAGGTAGTTTAGGAAGATAGTGGGGTTTTCTTAGAAATTGTGAAAATTTGAATTAGAAGTTGGGTGAACTTAGAATATGGAGTGAACAAAGAGAAATGCTGGGTTTAAACAGAAGAACTCTATTTTTATCTTGTTTGGTATTGGATTATTTGGGCTAAAAAGTGATTTCTTCCAAATTTTTTGAAGTCCATCCCGTTTTGTAATACATAGGTCCTGTTTGTTACACCTCCCAAGCTTGAACTAGCTTGGACTGACTTTTTATCCCATGGGGGCATAATTGATTTTATTTTATTTATTTATTATTATTATTATTATTTGAGTCAAAAGGCGATAGCATTTTATTCGAGGAAAAGGATGGAACAAGTATAAAAATCGGGCTATGTCTTAGAGGATTAGGCGAGTGTCTTTACATCCGATGAGCGTTTTGGCCTTCGGTTACGAAGTAGCGTACTCTCTCAACTGCAAACGGGAGAAGGAACCTTAAATTTTTTTAAATCACAGTCTGTTTGGTAAGAAAAGAAATTCACTTATTGTGAATAATTGCAGTGAAGAAATGAGAGATTATAGAATACTACAATAGTACGGTCATGTGGTACATCTTGTACACGTATTATAATATAAGTGGATATTTATAGATACTATTCCCAAAAGAGGGGGGGTGTGGAAAGGGGGGAATAAACCATGTTGACTGTACTATCGTAATATTCTATCATTTCTCGTGAAGAAAGCAATTAAGGACAACTGGTAATGAAGTGCTTTCATTTTTTAATTATGCAGCAATCAATTTTGGAGATGCGCTAAAGTTTAATAAAAAATTCAAAATTTTTAAGAATGACCCCATATGTTGTCACGCTCGCATCTCTCTTCTCCTCTACTTCCCCATCATTCATCTTCATGCCATCTCTTCCACGTTCCTCACTCCATAGCTCACTCTTCTCCTTCTCTTCCATTTGTTCATTTGACATAAATGGAAGTTAAGAACAAAGTTGGACCAGACTGAATTCCGTGTAGAACCCATTGAGAAAAAAAGTAATTAATCCATTTTTTATTTATAATTTTATTGGAATTGAAAGCCATTAAATGTAATGGTTATCCAATTATGTCACAATAAAGGCGTTATAATCCTAAATGCTGGAAAATTGAATCAATGTATTGGAAAAAGAAGGAAAAAAAGACAGTGACTCAGTGATTGAGATTCAATGACGTCCACAGAAACCAAATCCCCTCTCTCCCTCCAGAAGCCTTGTCTCGCTCCCACATGGCAAAAGCACAAATATCTCTCAGGAAATAAAGAGAAAAAAAAAAAAATCTCCAACTTCCTGCCACTGCTAAAAATGAAAAGTCTTTTACCTCACTGACTCACAGTTCACTCTACTCTGTATGGCCATCACCACCAGCATTTGTTCATCACCAAACCAACCACCAATTCTCCCAACACTTTCACTCCCAACCATCCCATTCACACCACTCAAAACCCACCACCCTCTCCAACTCCACTTGCCTTTTCCCTCTTCTTCCTCCAAATTTGGTGGCAATTTAGTCTCCAATGACGCATTGGCCATTGCAGCAGCGGCCGAGGCACTGGTGCTGGCCCGTGCTGCGGTGGAGGCGGCCATAGACGCTGTGGCGGTGACGGAAGAGATTGGTGAGGTTTGGAGTTGCAGGGAGAATGGGAATGAGAGTAGTGGACTGGTGGCGAGGAGGAAGATGAGGAGGAAAAGGAGAAAACGGTTGGAGGCTTTGGATGAGGAGATGAATAGGGATGTTGAAGATGGAATGGTGTCATTTGGGTTTGTGAGATATGAACATCTGAGCCCAAGAGAAGAAGCAGAATGCTGTCTGAGTCTCAAGGTATTCTTATTTTGTAATGATTCTGTTTTTTTACTCTTACTTGTTCAACCCACTTATCAGAATTACACATTTGAATCTGGTTTTGTATAGCTGATGGGTATTCTTCTATTTCTATTTAGATTTCTCTTTTTAACAGAGTCTGCAATATTTGAAGTGTATTCCAGATTGCTCTGCTTAGATGACATTAACTATGTGTTTCATACAATGTACCTTTCAATGTTTAAAGGTATATGGTCATTGATCACTACAATTAGCAACTTTCATTGTTCTCTAGTTTGAATTTTCTTCAAATCTTATTGCTCATTGTACGTGACGCAACCAAGAGGACTAAATTGGTGCTGTTGCAGAAATCTTATCTGTTCCTCTAAAAAAACCCTTTTCTATTGTTTGGTTTCTACTAATATTTATTCATGCTTTGGTTCACATGCTTTTCCTTTTACTTTTAAATAGTAGAGTATGTTGTTTTAGGACAGTTCTCAAATTACTTTTCGCAGGGTTTTCTAATGCCAAAAAAGTAACTTCAGCCCTCCATGTGTGAAGGGTCTTTACTCCTCAAATTAAGAATAGTTTTTTTTCTTTCTTTCTGATAATTAACCTTTTAATGACACAGGAGGGAGCAAGACTAGAATCAGAAAGGTTCAGAGTTGTAGAAGCTCAAAAGCACGAGCCAACCTCAAAACAGTTGGCCAAGGCAATGGGAATGAAGATGAGAAGTATAGATAAGGTGCTTTGTAAGAGAAGAGAGTCACAAGAAAAGATCATCAGGAGCTACCGGGGACTTGTTGTCTCTGTTGCCAGCAGTTATCAAGGGAAAGGATTAAGCTTTCAAGACCTCATTCAGGTTCCTACACCGTCCACTCCTATTTTTCCCAAGTTGTTGTAAGAAACTAAGCATCTATTTTAGCAGGAAGGGAGCATTGGTCTTCTTCGAGGGGCAGAGAAGTTTGATCATGAACGAAAATGGAAGTTATCAACATATGTCTACTGGTGGATTAGGCAAGCTATTATCAGAGCCATAGAAAACAAGTCTAGAATAATCAGATTACCAGTAAGAAGCTGACTTAATTAACTGTTGTTCCGAAACAGTTGTTTATTTTGTTATTGTACTTCTTTATCTTGGCCTAATCACTGATTTTATATAATTTTTCAGTCCTAAGTAGAATTTGTGCCTTTCGTTTTCTCTTGCCTACTGTATACATCATCTGGTGCTTTGAAACCGTTGTATGTCTGAGCAGCAAAAGTTAGTTGAAGCTATACATATATGATGAACTATGCTGTTGTGCTTTGTTTGCATTACCAATTTCCGTTACAAAAACTCATGGGCAGCTGCTCAGTGGAGAAGATAAATTTCAAAATTGTTCTAGATATTTGTCAAAGATGAATTTAATTGAATTCAGATGCCAGGGTTAGTGGAGAAGTTGATTGGCTTTCAGGTTGAGATGGTCTTTTCCATATAGATGGTTTCAAAATCTGTTGGGGATGGTCTAATTAGTAAATTTAATGATTTCCTTTCCCTTCACATATTTAAGTTATCTTTTATACAGCTCCTGGGAGGTAACTGGTAAAAATACATTGAACGAAAGATTACAGAAGTATGGTTAGTTTATTTGTATAGGGACACGTGTGCGGCATGATGGCAAAAATCACAAAAGCTCAAAATTCCTTGAACCAAAGGCTTCAGCGGCTGCCTAGCCATGATGAACTTGCTGAAGTGATCAAAGTGAATGCTTCAACCGTAAAGCTTGTTTGTGAGAGGAGCAGACCCCCAATTTCATTGGATAGAGTGGCAACTGTTCGAGGTTCCATGACACTGCAGGTTTGTGTCTTGAATCTTGTTTTCATGATTTCTTTCACATCTTCTATTAGCAGCTCAAATGAGAGAGATGATTTTGTTAATTCATATATTTTTCTAATTTTTAATCTCAGATGTAAACTGTAAGTAGGGGTTCTATGGTCCTCATTTATGACTCATCAAATTTTGCTAAAGCTCTTGAGTTTCATGTTTCGATATTGGACTCGGAAATTACGAATCTCCACTTTGATTTTGCTCCTAGAAAGGGATATAACTTGATTAGCTGCATAAGTACATGGTTCAGCGTTTGTATAACTGAATTAAAGATTGCTTGACAAGTCAGGGAACTAAATGCATAAGCTTAGCCCCAAAGCTGGAAAAGAAAAAGAAAAACTTCATTAGACTAAAGGTTTTACAAGCTTTAAAGGAATATTTTAAGTTTTAACTGTGCCATTCACCATAAGGAAAAGTCATAAACTAGCTTTAGTTGAGAATCAAGACTTTATACCACTGACGAGCCTGATGGATATGGTCACAGGAAATTGCTCTGTATAAAGTAGCAAATTTTGATTTCTTTGTACCCTGTTTATTTAATCTTCCTTCGTGAGGAGAACTTCATGAAAATATGAAGATTAGGCAAAATGTGTCTGTTATGATCCATTAATGAGTCTTAATTTATTAGTTCACATTATGTTGCAGGAGATCATACAAGGGCCAGAGGAGATGATGCCAGAAAAGATGCTTATAAGGCAGCTAATGAAGCAAGAGGTCGAGAAGCTTCTGAAGACGCTGAGTGATAGAGAAGCAAATGTATTGAGATTACACTTTGGACTCAATGGAGAGAGCCCTCAGTCTTTTGAAGAGATAGGAAGACTGTTAAAGCTTTCGCGGGAGAGGGTTCGACAGATAAATGGAATTGCATTATCAAAATTAAGGCAGACTAGTACTTTGGACATATTGTATAGTTTTTCTATCATGTTATGAACAGATAAAGGAAATAGAGAAAGGTAAATAGCATGACGAGAAAAAAGAATATACATTTTTTAATTGCATCAGTTGTTTGATTAGGTATTGAAGAAAAAGAAAGAAGATCAAGGGTTTTCTATAATTCTGGGATTGCTGTAATCCTTTTTATTGACCAACCAAGTTTTTTTGACCAACCAAGTTTTTTTGACCAACCATGTGGATTGCTTTCTGAAACTTGGGATCCAGCATGGTTCAAAACTCCATCAATTGCTGATATTGAAACCAAAATTTAGTTATAAACTCTAATTATTGTTCTTGATAAAGGATTCATTTGCACAATTGCATTTCTGTTGCAGTTCTACAGGCCTCATATTAACTTAGTTGTCACACTGTTTCTACCCAACCTTTAAACCGATAAATGTTGGGAACTGTAGATCAAATTATACACTCATACCACATCGGATAGATCACCATCTCACATTGGGGAACTCTCTTTAAGTTGCATATGACATTTCGAGATAAAATCACAAACCTGAACTCTACAAGGTGGTTAATTTGGGACAAATTGTTGCAAGATAGTCTACCTCGAGACCTTCAAGCTTGAAGATAATCATAAGATCTTAGGAGTTGGGATTTGATCTCCTTAAGTTGCACACATTCAACATGAAGGGTCAGGCCAATGATAGAACTCAAGCATTGAAAGATCAAAATGATTGAGCTGTGATCCTTTCTTTTTTCTTTCACTTTCAGTTTTGACAATGTTTGTATTTTATAACTGTTTAAACTTGTTTCTTTTTTCCGTGCACTTCTTTGACATTGTTCTTTCAGTTGCAAACACAATGAGCTACTCAGCTCTTAGTTGATGTCCACACTAGCCCTCCTTATGAAGATCATTTGAAATGCTCCACAAGTGAGATTTTATTGGAAGATGTATATTCACTTGAATGTGTAAGCTAATTGTTGGCGAGATATCCTAGTCCTATTAGGATATTTCTTTCTTATTCTATTGAGATTTTATTTATTCCTTTTTTGTATAGATATTATGTAATTAGGACTTTTCTTATTTCCTAGTATAATCCTACTAGGGTTTGTAACCTTATATTATAAATACCTCATTTCAGAGAATAAAATATATCTTAAAATATTCTACCCATATTGTTTGACTTGGCATCATAGCTGACTTTCTGGTGACCTGTGTGTTGTGCCCACTTGTGTTCTACTGTGTGCCCTAATTTCTTTTAGGGTTCTTGTGCCCATGCCTGTGCTGTGTTTGTCGTATCTGCTTCGTGTTGTGTTTTTTCCGCTGCTATAATGGGTGATGATTTCAAAGTCGTGGTGCGTGCTAGTGCCTCTGCAACAAAGGAGGAACATCCCTCGTGTGATTACTCTACCCCGATTACTTCTGAAAAATTGGATGGCTCCAATTATACCTCTTGATCTCGTGGTGCGCATATTACGATTACTAGTCGTCGTATGGCAAGTTGGATCAATGGGAAGAAGCCTGCTCCTTCTTCAGATTCCGCTGCCTATGCCAAATAGGAAGAAGATAATTGCCTGGTGCAGTCATTGCTTCTCAATTCCATGACTAAACCAGTTCGTGCATTGTTTGAACATGGTGATACTGCTTTTGATATATAGGAGGCCGCTTGGAAGACTTATATTGTGACTCAGAATAGTTCTCGGTTGTTTCAACTCCGACGGCAGTCCATACTTACATGTTAGAATGGTGAATCTATCAAACTGTTCTATGAAAAACTCCATGCTATCTGGTAGGAGATTGATTATCTAATGATGGGGTTCATTTTCTGAAAAAAATTGAAGCCGATCAAGTTTATGATTTTCCTCGATGGTGTTCGTAGTCGTATCCTTGCTCTCAGTCCTGTCCCGCCCCCTCTCGAAGCCTATGCCATGGTCACGGAGGAAGACACCTATCAGTTCACTATGCTTGGAGAAGGTTCAATGGCCCTCAAAGTTGACCCTGCACGTCAACGACCAGTCACTCCTTATCCATAAAATTTTCTTCTTCTGCTGGGTCTTGTCCTTCTGGCTTTACCCCTAGCTCTCTTGACGGTCCTCCTAAGTGTCGTCATTGTAATGGGAATCATTACTCTGAGAAGTATTTTAAGGAGCATGGTTATCTCGATTGATTTGTTGACTACAAAGCTCATATACAATCCCAACGCCGCCTGCACTATGACTCAAGATGAGGCCTATCCTCCGGCCCTGTCTGCAAATCTGTGTGCTTCTGATACCATGCCAGGTATGGGTTCTAATACTTGGATAATTGACACTGGTGCTTCTGATCATATGACTTATTATGATAATATGTTTGATGAGTTGTCTCATAACCCTCGTGACCCCTATATTCTAGTGCTAATGGTTTACCTTCCCCAGTTACTGGTGAAGGTACCATCCACCTTACTCATTCTTTACCTCTGTCCCATGCACTCTTGGTTCCAAATATTCGCTGCAATTTGTTATCTGTTGGGCGTTTACTTGATACTCTTAAAGCTTTTGCTACTTACTATTCTACCCACTATTTTTTCCAGAATCTCAAAACTCACGAGAAGATTAGGCATGGTAAATGGATAAGGGGATTGTATTACTTACAGTTACGGGATGCAGTAGTTTGTGATTGTGTCGCTAATAAAGTCCAGAGTGGCATTGTCAAAGACAAACAACAACTTTGGCTATGGCATCATCGCTTAGGAAATTCGTCATTTGGTTATCTTAAACATTTGTTTACTTCATTATTTAGTTCATGTGATGAGTCTAGCTTCAAATGTGAGACTTATGTAATGGCCAAGAGCTACCGTACTGTTTTTCTCTTGAGTAATATTAAAGCTGCATTTCATTTTGAGTTAGTACATTTGGATGTATGGGGCCCTGCCCGTGTGACTTCTCATGGTTTCCTTTGGTTTGTCAAGTTCATTGATGACTGCACTCGCTTAACATGTGTATATTTGATGAAACATAAACATGATATTGCCTATATTCTTCATGTTTTTTGTGATGTGGTGTCTACTCAGTTTCATGCCCGTGTTAAAGTATTTCAGACTGATAACGGAGGTGAATATGTGAATCATACCTTGACCCAGTTCTTCCGTGATCAAGGTATCATTCACCAAACTACCACTCGATTCACTCCTCAACAACATAGTGTGTCTGAACGTAAGAATTGTCAATTACTTGAAGTTGTACGCTCCCTTATGTTGGATATGTTTGTTCCCCATCATATTTGGCCGCTGCCTATTTGTTTAATCGTACACCTGGTCGGGTTATTGATTTCAAGACTCCACTTGATGTGTTATGTGCTCATACTTCTCCAGTTTTGGTCTCTAAGTTACCTCCAAATGTATTTGGGTGTGTTGTTTATGTTCATGTTTACTCCCATCAACGGAGTAAACTTGACCCGTGTGCTCTTTGTTGAGTCTTCATTAGCTATTCTACCACTCAAAAGGGTTATAAGTGCTATCACCTTCCTTCACAGAAGGTACATGTTACTTTGGATGTCACATTTTATGAAGAAGCACCATATTATGTCTCTTCTTCCTCTCCAATTCAGAAGGAGATGGGTAGTGAATTGAAGAGTTTCATAATGGAAAATCTTGGACATAAAGAGGCATGTGAAGGAATTTCTGACGAAGTGCTAGCGACCGGTTAAAAGCGGTCACCAAGGAATCTGCCAGGAAGCGACCAGTTGCCCAAAAGAAGCGACTGATGGCCAAGTAATCTGCCTGGAACCAACCGGTCGCACAGAGGGTGACGGCAGGTCGAACGCCTCGATGACTAATGACTGCCAGGAAAAGACCGGTTACTAAGAAGATGCGACCGGTCGCCAAGTAATCTGCCTGGAACCGACCGGTCGCTCAGAAGGTAACGACCGATAACCGGTTGAATTTTTTGACGATTTGTGCTCTTTACAAGAAGATCGTGACAGTGATACTGGTGACTCTTGTGAAGATGATATCGATATAAGACCCTCTTCTGCCCTGCCGCTACCCCAATCAACTCGTGATAATGATGTGGTACTTTCTAATGATGTGTCTAGTTATCCATTACCCCCACGCACTACTCATGGTAAACCTAAAGTACAATATTCTCCTGATATACAAGCAAAATCCAGATATCTCATTAACCATTGTGTGTTAACTCATCATTTATCTAAGTCATATGCATCATATTTGTGTTAATTATCTAGTGTATGTGTACCAACTAAGTTGCAAGATGCTCTATCTGATCCAAAATGGGAGGATGCAATGCATATTGAGATGGAAACCTTGAACAAGAATGCCACTTGGGAGCTAGTTCCTTTACTGAAAGGAAAAAAAGCAGTTGGATGCAAATGGGTGTTTACTTTGGAGCACAAGGCTGATAGTTCCATTGATCGTTACAAGGCAAGATTGGTAGCAAAAGGTTATACTCAGACCTATGGAGTGGATTACATAGAGACCTTTACTCCAGTAGCAAAGCTAAATACTATGCGCGTACTCTTGTCCTTGGTTGCTAATCATGATTGGCCCCTATTACAATTTGATGTAAAAAATGCATTCCTTCATGGTGACCTCAAGGAAGAAATATACATGGATCCTCTGCCGGGTATCCCTGTGACCTCTAAGGAGGGTGTCGTGTGCAAACTACGGAAATCCTTTAATAGATTAAAGCAGTCTCCAAGAGCTTAGTTTAGGAGGTTTGCTACATCTATGAGGAATTTTGGATATGTACAAAGTAATTCTTATCATACTTTGTTTTTGAAGCGTCATAAATGTAAATTGACAGCTTTAATAATTTATGTTGATGATATGATTGTAACTGAAGATGATCAGGTAGAAATGCAGAATCTCGAGAAATATATGTCGTCACACATTAACTGAAAGTATTTAATAGTGAGGGAGAAGGTAGTAAACAAACTAGTCAAGTTTGATCATATCAGAACTCAAGATATGATTGCGGATCCATTTACAAAATTTCTGCCTTTAGAAGCTTTTTTGAGACATGTTGAGAGCATCAGGGATTTGCATTTAAGGATGTTAATTTGATTGATAGTTTTGATTATTGAATAATTTCTACCAT